CCTGAGTAAAGTGTTAAATTCGCCAAGCACTCGATCATTATTGCGTCCTGGGTATGATGATGAACTACCTCCGCGTCCTGGGTAAGACGATAAACTACATCCGCGTCCTGGGTAAGACGATAAACTACAGCCGCGTCCTGGGTTAGACGATAAACTACATCCAACAGAAAGGCCTCTAATCAAGAGGTTTTGAGGAGCGTGGAACCACCTCTTAATTGCTGGTGTTTCCAGGTGCAGCCTGACCCGGGGTGGTAGCATCTGTTAGGGTCCCCGCTATGAGCAAATAGTTAACTCCCAAACTGTGGTCAAAACACTATGAAAATGTAAAAATAGGTTTTAGTACCAGCAATACATTTTTTTTTAATTATTACCACCAATATATATTTGGGAAAAAATTACCAGCAATACACATTTGGAAAAAAAATATTGCAAGCATAAAAATCTAGTCGGCCTTAAATAACCCATTGAGGTTGATATGCCGTAAAACAAACCAAACCAAACCAAATCTATCCTTGTTAAGTGTCCTCGAAATTCCAGCTGCCGTTGCACATATCCATGATAATCTCCGCATCTGTCGGCAAAACCACCTTTGAATGTTTTCTGTCTTAGCCTTCAAAACCCTATTCTTGTTTATCTGTTTTAAAAAAATGATGGATCCTTATTGTTTAAAGATTTTACGGACAAATCGCTCTGAAACACAGATTCTTGTTTCGTCGCCGAAGTTAAGCAGCATTGTGTCCAGTCAGTACAAAGATTTTATTTTACATTTTTAAGTATTCTTTGGTACATATGATTGTATTTGACGTCCTTATGGAGTCGCAATCGCCGAATGTTAGTGTCAAATTCTCGTATGTTTGTGGTGAGTAGCCATTTCGCAACTGAGATTGTCCAAGGAAACGGCAATTTTTTAAAGACTTTTCTGTAGCTGTGTATAATACGCACCCCTGATTTTGCTTATTATTTTTTAGAAAAAAAATTCGTATTATACATGAGGAATTACTGTATTCCCAAATGGTCACCCATCTAGGTACTGACCAGGCTTGACGTTGGTTAACCGGTAATCGCACGAGAACCGGTGTTTCGGATTTAAATAACCCATAAAGAATTGATAAGCCGTAAAAAGAAATCACTTAAAACGAATCTTTAGCATTCACTCTGTCCTGTGAGTGTTAAATTCGCCAAGCGCTCTTTCTTTATTATATTATTATTATTATCTTTATTATGTTATATTATCATTATTATTATCTTTATTATGTTATTATTATTATTATTATTTTTATTATTATTATCTTTATTATGTTTCATCACTCTCTTTCTGATTGTAATTAAATGTTTCTTTGTTGTTCTTATTTCCTTTAAAACATTTTCTTTACGCATGTGTTCTATCCATGGTATTCTCAGGATTCATCAGTAAAACCACATCTCCGCCGATGGAAATCTCGATAAGGTCTGTGAGGAGATCGTTCCAGATGCACTGCCATTTAGGAGATTTTAAATTAATATAGCACATTTCTATGTTTCTAACGACATTTTCTTATCTCTTAATGCGTCCTGGGTTTGAGGATAAACTACATCCGGCAGCAAGGCCTTTGAGCAGGAGGTTTTGAAGAGCATTGAACCACCTCTTAATTCCCGGGGTGGTAGCACCTGTCAGGATCCCAGATATGGGGAAATAGTTACCCCCACCACCAAATTAAAAGGGGGGGTCAAAAGACTATGAAAGTATAAAAATAGATTTGAATACCTACCAACAATACTTTTTAGGGAAGAAATTGTTACCAGCAATACATTTTTCGAAAAAAAATATTACCATCAATACATTTTTGAAAAAAAATATTACCCGCAATACATTTTTGAAAAAAAATATTACCAACAATAAAACTCGGTATTAAATAGCCCATTGTTCAGTATCCCTATGCCCCTTCGGATTTCTGTGTCATATTTTTCGCTCTTTACTACTCAGATAGTTAAATTTCCTTACCGGCTTGATTTTGTCATCCCCGACATGTAGCTCACATCCTGTGTTGTCCCTTTTACTGACAACAATGTAGTCTGTCTTCTTATAGTTCTTACTTTCCTAAACTATCTTATCTAAGGGTTCTTGTTGGGTTCTCGCAATAAGCGAATATATACAATATTTAATTCGTATTTCTAAAAAAAAAAAAGTACTGTCATCTTCATCTGTGCAGAAAATGATCAGCCTTCACAGTTTAGCACACTTTTCTTTGTTTCTAATGACATTTTCATATCTCTAAATTCTTTGCTTAGATTCTGGAAGTCATATTTCGCTATTACTATGCACTTTCGGATTTCTATGTCACCGTTCCTATTTTCTGTGACTTTACAACCCGGATGGTTGAATTTGTTTACCTGCTTCATTTTGACCTCTCCAATTATTCCTTGGGCTGTCGCTTTTCCGAGCGACATTGCATTCTATCTGTTCATACAGAACAAGATATTAAATATACATATGACTATTTACTTGTCTTTCTTCAAACAGGTAAAAAATTATTTTATTTGAGAAAAATATTTATTTATATTTTAATATTTTCGGAGAGCAATCCGAAGCATGCGGACGAAAAAATGAATGAAGCAAGGATACGTCGTCTCGCCAGATGTACTTAACCTTTAGGGAGGAGCTAGATTAAGAGAACTAGAAGTCTGACCAAGATTTATTATTGGCGTGCACAATCTTAACGGTGTAAGATAGGTGACACCGGAAAACAAACTGATGGAAATCCAGATAAAGTAGTGAAGTTAAGCGAAAAGCAAGGAATAACCATCGACTGTAAAAAGATAAAGTGCATGATTGTCAGCAAAGGGGAACAACCTTTGAAAGGTACGGATAGGAGACCTTAAAATCTAGCAAGAATATAAATCAAGCTATCAAGGAAATGTTTTAACAGACGACGGGAATTTTCACAGAAATAATCAGCAAAATCATGTTAGAAACAAAGAAATTTTAAAATCTAGCAAGAACATAAATCTATCTAGGAAATGTTTTAACAGACGACAGGAATTTTCACAGAAATAATCAGCAATTTCATTTTAGAAACGAATAAATGATTGCCGAACTGTTATGTAATGTCGGTCCTCCTATAATGTGAATAATGAAGGCGTTTTTAGAAAAATGGAAGCAAAAAAAGCGCGCTTATACTTTGAATCAGAAAAGGCAAGTTGAAATTTTTAGAACTTATAATGAGGAAGGACAACATGAAAATTTAACACTCACAAGACATACTGAAATGAAGACGAGTTGAGATAAACAACAAGTAATCTATGTACCCGTTATTGGAATTGAATCAGTAGTTCAGGTTTATTCTCTGCGTTATTGGCCGTTTAACCCTCACATTTTCTTTTCTTACTCTCGTCCCTTCTTCTTTCACAGTCTCTAGCTCTGCTAGCTTTGTTAAGACTGACCTTACGGGCTATCCGGCTTTTTTCCCTCCTCGATTGGAAGCGTGGAATTATTTCGATAGGTTTGTTTTGACTTTCCCAAAATCTTACAATATTGGGATTGGCGGCGAAGTCTAGTGCGGATCTCTATGTACGTTGTGTTCCACAGACAAGATTACGTAATTCCTATCTAAGGCCGTGGTCATTTTTGTCTATGCGTCCGGGACAACGTCGGGAATCAAGGTTGGAATAAAAACTCCTTCGATAAAATGGCAAGCACTGTTGATAATTCTAACAACAAATGTAAAAAAAAAAAAAACTGGTGAATAAAACGTATCCATTATCTAGTAGAACTAAGTCTAACCCTTGCTTGATGGTGACTGGAAAATATAGTAGTAAGTGCTGTAAATTGGTAGAAGCATCACTACCTATCTATCACTTCACGCTTACTTCTCTTGTTCCGCGTGTGTCTGTGTGTTCGCTTCGACCACGGAAATTTTGAGTGTGCTCTTGTAAGGCGACGTCCAGACAACCCGGAGCAAATCTCTGACGACTCTGTCCTGGGTCCGACTCTCTTTGTGTGTCATGGGGCTCTGCGCGCCTTCGTTTATATAGATAAGCCCCATCCCTATAATCTGATATTGATATACCTCATTTCTCTACTTCTGACTGCCCTAATCTTAGGGAACCTTTTACAAAATATATGGCTCTCTTTGTTTAAGAATTTTCGGTCACTCTCTTTCTGTAAGGATAATAGTATTTTGTGTGGAGAGTATTATTATAAACAAACTCCAAGTTTAGGATTTAGGCATAAATTGTTTACGAGAATGTGTGTCCTGTCATTTCTGTAAAGATATAAGCGCTTTGGACGGACAGTATTAATGTAAACAAACCATGAATTTAATTTCTCAGGACCAAGAGATTTAGACAACGCATTAATTATGTCTTATTATTATCGGAGGTAAGTGGACTGGTTGAGGAGAATTTGGTTTTGCTCAATTTTACTTTATAACGGCTAGCTATTTATGGGTACGATTCTCTTTGGAACCTTTTTGAAATTAATTTTATAGTTTAAAATATAATCATTAACTCGTTTCTTTTTCCATCGTTTTCTCAGCCATTCATTATACACTTCTGAGAATTTTCATAGTTGTTATCAAATTAATTATCACTCCATATCACCATCCAGCGATTTCATGCAATTAAACGATTGAACAAGGTCAGTGCTCTGTCATAGCTGGTTTTAAATTGCGTATTCTGCATCTAGTTTTAAAAACTGAGCGTTGGATTTTTTTTACACACGCCCAATAAGATGACAGTTGCAAAAACTTATCGGAGAAAAATAAAGGATCAGACAAAGAAAGAAAGAAAGAAAGAATCGTGGAAAACAAAAACGCGTTTAAAGTGAGTAAAACTGACAAAAAATAATCAATAATACATAAAATTAAACTGACTGAAAAATCGATATCTTTATTGACTGGTTTGAATCTCTTGACAATAACGATATTTACAAAGCGGCTTCATAAAAAAAGGATTTGAAATATAAAGCTGAACAAATTCTCATCAATATTTTCTCGCTTGATATAAGTTTAAAAACCTTTTCTTTACTTGAAAATGCATGCACGCGCGTGCGCGTACACACATTTTCTTCTTTGTGATAGATAGATAGATAGATAGATAGATAGATAGATAGATAGATAGATAGTGAACAGGGATAGAGAGAGATAGAGAGATAGATAGAGAGAGAGAAGAAAGAAAGAATTACGATAGTGGCTCTGAAATTTTAACGATGTACAACTCGAAAAATGTGATTAATGTAGAAAGGTTGATTTTGAATCAGATTAAGTTGTTTAAAAACAATTATTTTTCTCTTTAGGCTACGGACTTATTGATGCATCTACATATATCTCGAAATATTCTCAGAAAAGTTTTCGACAGCAAATGGTAAACAAATTCAAAAAAAAGTTTAAAAGAAAGAAAAAAAAAGAAAGAAAGAAAAGACGTTAAGATGGAGGAAGTGCGTATACTCAGTTTAACTTTAATGTGTGTCTTTACTCCAATAATTCTAAATTCAAATTGTCTTCATAAAACTATTAGCATTAACTAAACAAACTAAATAATGAAATAATAATAACTGTATCTGTACTGAATAAAAATAATATTTATTCTTTTCTTTTTTTTTTTTTTTGTCAATGCGTGGTTAATTAGAAAATTAGAGTGATCTCCCTTACTTTGTTTCCGACCCGCTTTAACGCCATATTGTCTTTTCATTAGTTTCTTATTTCATATATTTAATAAACGTATGTTGTGTAATAGAAAATATTTTCCTTATTAGACTACAGACTTACTGATGCATCTATTAATATCTGCTACAATATAACATGCGGTCAGTTTATGGGATTTGGTTAATTTAAATGACGGGATATGACCGTATGTGATTTATAACAGGAAAAAGACGGGTAAACTTGACAATGTCTTTTTCTATGTGACATATTTTGATCCAGGCTCTCTACATCTTCTTGTCGTTTGCTGACTTTTGATTCTTAATCAAGATTCCTAGTCACACAAATTCGTTACGTAAGTGACTCTCCTTTTCTTCCTATATCTCAGCTTTCAGTATGTCTTGTGACTGTCAACTTCTCTATACCTATTTTGCTTATTATATTTCCCAGTAATTGAAAATGTTCTCTTTCTGATTGTAAGTATAAATTTCATCATTGCTCACATATTCTCTTCATGTTTTTTCTCACCATTGGTTGAAATAAACACATATTTGTCGTTTCAACTTCGCCTTCGTCTGTGTGGAAAATATTCAACATCACTGCTAGACAGGAGATCAGGTATTGCATAACAGTTCAGGACTCTTTTCTTTATTTTTAATGACATTTTCATATCTCTTAATTCTTTGCTTATATTCTGGAAGTTATATTTCGCTATCCCTATACGCTTTCGGATTACTACGTGACCTTTCCTATTTCCTGTTACTATACAACCCGGGGGTTTAGTACATTTCGCCGTAGCCCTTTTGGCGTCGCTGATTCGGCGTCAGAAAAATAATTGGACTATTCCGCACAGCCGTTTAGTTATCAGACTGTTTCGACGTCACTGTCTTTGACCGAAGGCAAACCCCACCCCACAAAAAAAAGGATAAAAGCATTGAAAACACCCAACTTTCAATATAACTTTTTATTCATTTAGGGAATTAAGGAACCTATTAAAACACTAATGGAATAATGTAAATTAAAAACTTAAATTACAAATATTGGATTTCAAAAAAATTAAAAAACTGAGGAAAACAATTTAATCTTAAAAATTACTTCTTCATTTTGTAATTATGAGCAAAACCCTTCAGGACCTCAATAGCATTATGCCTTTTTGATTCGTTCGTCAGCATCTATATATTTGTTTAGATTTTTTTTTATTGCTATATCCAGTGTTCAACTTTTCGAGAAATGCATCACGTCCTTTCTGAACTTTCCGTAAGGCATCAGTAAATTTCCAGTTTGAAGGATGATGCATTCCTAGCTCATATTGCAAACGTCCATTTGCAGCTTCGGCCTCATTGATGGTGTGATCTTCATTATTTAGTTTTCGTTCATAAAGGTTCCATATCTAGGGATCAAAAATAGTGGCCATACTCGCATTTTCTTTTCTTAAATATAAAAATGCCTCCAACTAAGCTTTTTCTTAAATTGGACTATTCGAGCATATAAAGACGAAATACTAATTTGACTGCTAAACGAGAGAGAGAGAGAGAGAGAGAGAGCAAATTTGACTATAACGACGAAGTAGTAATCTGACGTCTAATTGTTCCCTTGCCGAATAATTCCTCTGTCGAATCGTCTACGCCAAATAGGTTACCGCGGAACATCCCATTCCCACAACTCGTATAGTTGAATTTATTTACCTGCTTGATTTTGATGCCCCCAATTCATAGCTTACTCTTTGGGCTGTCTTTTTTGCCAAGAACCATGCATTCTGGCTTTTTACAGTTAATAGTTCTTCTTTTCTTCTTGCTTTCCTTCACTACACCGTGAAAGAATTCTTTCCGTTTCCTTTGAGTTTGCCAACAAAACATTGTCATCATGTTTATTATTTCCCCCGATAATAATCCTGGAGCGTCTTCTGGTTCTCTTACGATTGTCTCACTGTATGGGTTAAATAAATGATGTTGAGCAATATGCCGCATATATATATATATATATATATATATATATATATATATATATATATATATTAAACTTCTCTCCATTAATGATCGGAAAGATTCTTTACTGCCTTACATCAACATGGCGGATGATATCCTCCAGGAAAGTGACCCTTCTCAGGCTCACGTTCACTGCTGATACAAAGTAGAAAGACTATATTGAATCCATTGCTATCTCTGCTGCTGAGAAAGCCATTTCACTGTGTTTGGTGAAACATTTTTTCTCAACGGAATCTATTTTGCATATCTTTGAGGCTACCATTCGTCCATGCTTTGAATATTGCTGCCATATATGGTGCGGTGACCCTGCTATTTAACTTGAGCTTCTTGATAAGATCCAAAGAAGAATCTGCAATATTATTTTTCCTGATCTGGAGGATAGTAAGTTTAACTTCATAAAATCTAGATACCAAAGAGGAAAGCTCACCACACAACAATTATCATGACAGTATTTATAAAAAAAAAAATGCACAGGGAAGATACGTTGAGGCGATTGCAAAGCGATTGAAGCCGAGATGCCAGCTCAGGACCAATAACATTGCAAATTCTTCTTTGTATTTTATCAAGAATTTCTAAATACATTGCAGGTGCACCAGACCAGATATGACAGCAATATTCAATGCATGGGCGAACGGTGCTTTAGAGAATGCGTCGACTAGACAAAAATGGCACACCATACCATACTGTGCAGAACTCTGATGACCCGGACTGATAGGCGGTGGTTTTGAAGCCCGTGTTTATGGCACCCTGGCAGTGACGGATTTTATTTAATTAGTTAATATCTCATCCTCTCCTACGCGTGCCATGGTTTCAACAATGGATAGACAGGTTACCACTTGGAGATCTTAGTTAACTGGCTAACCTGGGGACATTATTTCTCTCAATCTCCTTTTTCCTTCGCTTCCTCCAAGAAATGATGCTTACTATTATGTCTCCCAACGCTGAAAAAATGGGTAAAAAAAGTGTTCTAAAGAAAATTGTCTGTCGTTGATTCAGTCTGTTGATGCAGCGTTGTGGTCCTTAGTGGGGGATTGCCAATAGATCACCATAGCACAGGGACGACACTCAACGTAATATGTGTATGTTTATTTCCATTTGTATATTTATGTGAGTTGGCAAGTGTTATGATTAACTATGTATAATAATTTTCTCTTATTGAGAGTGCAAAACAACTATATTTTGGGACAATTTAAAAAATGAACAGGGGATACCTCAAACTTTTGAACTGTAGTGTACATATATATATGTGTGTGCGTGTGTGTGTGTGTGTGTGTGCGCGCGCGCGTTTGAGCACGTGTGTTTGTGTGTGAGTTTGTGTAACGGTCTTTACAACTGTACAGGCAGAAATTAAAATGGTGATCCGGGTTCTCGTGGTGTATACCGTCCACTTTCCCGGGAAACTTGTCGCATTGTTCTTCTCTTAAGACTTTCGCGTTTCATCAACTTCACTTCGGTGTGTTTCTTGGTGACGCAACATTTGTACTGAAAACAGAGCACGAAAAATAAAAGCGATCAATTCTCAACTCGAAAAACAAATTTCTAATCCAGACAAAACCAAAAGCATACAAACATATCACTGAATACACTCATAAACTCGCTCTATTAGGGATTAGTGAAAACCCCAGATCTTATAAAGTAGACAATGGTTCATAACTTCCACAATGGAAGCCGTTGTTACTATTAAGAACCCGAAATATATAAATAGGATTGAGTAATGCATGTCTCAAAGCTTCCACATCCAATACGTGATGGCATCGAAACGAGTGTATATCCGACGTTATTTTTTTTAAGCATTTCACCCCAAGCAAGGCTGGGTGCCGCTAGCATGCAAGGGGTTACAGAGAGTGGGAGCGAGAATAAAGATACGTGATAGAGGAAAGGATAAAGAGAAGGACAGGGAATAGATCAAGACATCTGGAGATGACGATTGACATTACATTTAAATAGTTGGCGATTATAGCTATCAGGGAAACAAGTAATAGAAAAGGAATTCCACAGGCAGGAGGTGCGATACATGAATCTATTAGAGTAGAAGAGACGGTTACATTTAAGTGTTTCGACAGTGAAAGGGGGGAGCGAAATGCCAACCTAGTAGCACGTTTAAATTTATGCTGTCTGGGAACCAGCGAAAGTAGCTCGTCGGAGAAGTTACCGTGAAAGTATTTGTAGAAAAGACAGAGGGAGGCGACGGCACGTCTGTGAGAGAGCGACTATAGACGACATGCCAGATCATGGCCAATCACATTGCATATCCGTCCCTGGATTTTGTCAAGGACCTTAAGATGAAGCTAGGCTGTTATTCTAGTCACAATTGTTTTTCTAACTGGGGTTAAGCCTGTCCAGTTTATACCAACAGATATAAAATAGTTGAGGCTTTCGTGTATCCACCCGGCTAGGATATTGACCACAGTGCAGAATGTATGTCTCTTTTCCCGTGTAATCCACATATGATTTTGAAACCGTGGCATTTCACTCAATTTGTAAGTTAAGGGGTTGTTTTGTAGGTCCCCTGCGAATATGCAGTGCTTTGGGGTATTGTTATATTCTGTGCTAAGGGAATAAACACATAACTCCAGGTGGATACTAGAAGAAAAGTTTATTGAACACAACCAGTACAATATGAAATACGGTACAGTTATACACACAGATCGATCTAGTAGTGAGTGCCACTAATTGGAAGGTCAGACGTGCTTGCATCGTCTTTCTCACTCCTTAGATTTATTGTAAACAATACAATTATGGCACATGGCCTAAAATAGGGGAGGGATTAAGGCTGGTCTTCACTGACTATCTTATACCTAGCTAATCCGATTCACGACCCATTCACTCATTACAATTCGCACATTCACCATAAGAACTCATCTGTCTCTCTCACACCTTTTCCCGAGTCTCTCGTAGACGGTTGATTTTATAGGTACTTGCTACCTATAGTGTAACCATTCATGGGGGTGACTGGTTATTCCATTACATCAGGTATATAGGATTGAGAGGTGATGAATAAGTTCTTGTGGTGAATGAGTAAATTGTAATGTATGAATGGGTCGTGAATCTTATTAGCTAGGACTAGGATAATTAATGAAGACCAGCCCCCGCCACTTATTTCTCTCCCTCGGCCTTGTGCCACAATTTTGTACTTATGAAAAATAAATACCCACAATTTGGAAGTTGGGATTTTAAATGATAAATAATCATGCAAACATTTTTTTTTCTAAATCTTTTTACCATTTTTTGAGAAAACGTGTTTAAAGATTAAGTTTAGATTCAAATTTGAGTTTTAGAATTTCATTCTGACGAACAGTAAAAGCCTTATAGGACAGCTTTATAATATTGATAATTGAAATATATGAAGTTAGTTGATTTGAAATTAAAAGAGGATAATGTACTCCATAACCAACAAATGTATATCTTCAACAGGATCCACAGAATAAAGCAACCATCGACCGAAATAAAAAAAAATTTTAAAATTTACAGCACCATGCTTTTGACATGTTTCCAGAAAATATTCTTTTCTCAACGTTGAAGTTTGAGTTAGAATTGGAGGTGAGGGAAGAGGCTATAAAACAAATTTTGTCTAATCGGTTAGTAAACATTTATTGATACGTAATTAGTTATGTCAATTTACAAGACTAATTTGAAAATTTCATTCAAATTACTTCACAAAAATATAATCAAATATCGGTAAATTTTCCCCAAAATATTCTTTTATTTGAAAAGTAGCAAGCCACGAAAGAAGAGATTTAAAAAATGACATTTATCAACTCTGAAGCGATGCACTGGCCAAATTTGATTTACCTCTCACAAATGTAGTTTATGGACTTGCGAAGCTTTTTCTTTTCAAATAATGAACTACAAGAGGTTCTAAGTAATGGAACGACGTTAGAGTTGCGAAATTTACGTTCATATTCGCAAGGTGTAGGAAGAGTAGTTAAAATGACTTCTGAACCTTCACAAAGGTATAAATGCATTAATACTAAATCATTGTCATCAAATAAGACCTTTATTTACCTTAAAGGGAAATTATACTGAACAATTTAGCTATATTAAGATGTAATATGTTATACAGTACAGTAGTTTTAGTGCGATTTTCAATAAACAACACAAATTTAAAATATTTTGTTCTATAATTTGTGTCTATCTGTTTTATGGTGTAAGATATTATTAATTGATTAGTCGTTTCTGTAATATTTTATTATTTGTACAAAATTTTACTTATCGAATAGAGTAAAAGATTGCATATTTTAATTAGAATTCTGGCTTGATTATATTTTCCATTCAATGTAACTAATACAAAAAATATTAACTTTATTTGGATTTATTATTGAAATAGTTAAATTCTGAATCAGTTTGCAAGAAAAAAACATGCGAAAATTAAGTATTTTTCTACATTTTTTCACACGATCTTTAAAACTAAATGCTCAAAAATTGATGAAAGGTATGAATCGAAATTTTGATGTCAGTAATTATGATATCATACGACAGATATTTCACTGAGTGTAATATAGATTTTCTCTGGTAAAGTGAAAAATCAATTTAAATTCGTGTCATACATCTCAGATATTTAAATTCTTGCATTTGTTTGAATTTGGTATTTTCAATTTGGAATTTGCATGCTCCGCTGTTTCTTTTGTTAGGATATTAATAGTAAAAGTTGGTAGAATCTCAACTGTTAAAGCTTAGACGAGGCTATTTTATACTGCGAGTTTCGCTCATAGTAAACTGTTTTTCTCAACATCATATACTATGGGTTATTCCGAACCAGACTAAACTATACCCGGATATATTCTGGCATAGAAACTATCTGAGTTGCTACACTGGACTGGGCGTGCTATGATTGTAACTTTTAAAACAAATGTACACGCCGTTAATGTTCATGGGTACCAAAGCATACTGAGTTAGTCTACCTTCGCATAGTCTAATCGTGTTAAGTTATTATGCTAGGTCTTACAACGTTGTATTGGAACGGCTCTGTGATCTTTACGAGAGCTGAAAAAATCGAGTAACCTGTCTCCATCAAAGTTTTCGTAAAACTCGACAAGTCTGCTACCGGGACCCTCATTGGGTTTTTGGCAAGCATCACTTTTCTTTCTTTTTTTTTTTTTTTTTTTGTCGCACCAGCGTTTCAAGGCCGGTCGAGTGTCAGTGTAATATGATGTGCTTTCAGGGTTATTAATCACCAAATAATGCCAAAAAAAAACGGAAAAAACATGAACACACCCAAGCGGAACGTCCTCATCTCTTTTCTGTGTATGTTACTACTGCTCTTTGGCGTATAGAGCCGCAACTACGCCACGCCAAGTGTTGCTTTTACAATTTCTGTCTGAAGTAGACTTTTACGAATGGAGTTGCTAGCTACACTCCCAAAAAGCTTTGAACATCGAGTTGTCTTTCTCCTAGATTGGTTGCCCAACAAAAGCCAGATGACCCAGTCTTCCTTCTATTAACCTATAACTGAGGGAAGAACAGATGGGTTCAATTCAAATTTCCACGCCGATAATCGATAAGCAATACGCACATAGGCCAATCATGGAAGCATCCAGGAGATTCTAAACCGGAAAATGTTCGATACATCCTTCTTAACTATAGTCACAATAAAGCACAAATCGATTAAGAAATCTCAGTTTCTAATATACGAAAATGCTTAAAGGTTTTCGCATCGGTATACAATAGACGACAAAATATAGGCATACGTCCAGTTTGGCTCGAGTTAAAAAATAAATAAACATACGGTGTGCAATGGTTCAATTGCCGCCATTTTATATTTTTAATTTCGCGCATGCGCGTTGTTTGTTTTTGATTTTGTCGACAGCACAGTATATTAGGGCCACCGTCTGTAAGAAAAAGAGCTGGGGATTTGCTGGTGAGGACCTCAGGCTCAACACGGAAATTTACATCAAATGCCTTGGAGAGGTAGTGTTGCCCTGGGTCAAGATGGTGGCTACTGGAAGACTATGTCTGGTAACAGGACTCTGCACCATGCCACACAAGCATGAGAACCCAGTCATGACTGTCAGACAATTTCTGCGACCACATCACTCCTTATATCTGGCCACCTAACTCCTCAGACTGCAACTCCCTTGATTATTATTTGCGGGGCGCAGTTAAGCGAAAAACCAACAAAACTCCTTGTCACACCAAAGATGAACTGAAGGCAAGGATTATGACAGCATTCACCAACTTAAACAAGGAGACCGTCCAAAAAGAGTGCAAGAGATTCTGAAGTCATCTGGAGGCCGTGGTTGAGGCCAATGGCGATTTTATTGAATAAATCCACTCTTTAGAATTTCAATGTGTAATTTTGGTAAACATATCTGTTAAAATTATGTGTCCGTGTTATTTTCATTTTTGCGCAATTTACACGACAATTTATCCATCGCATTTTGTAAGTTCTGTTTACACTAGAGTTAAAAAGGCAAGAGATCCATCAACTTTCCGAAAATTTGACCGATTCCTTGAAAGTCGCCATTACCTGAATAATCTCCAATATGAGTATAGACCCTGTCAGGCACGCATGCCAATGATTCTAGTCTCGCAGTGAAGCCACCATCGCGGCTGAAGGCGGTTACATCGAATAAACATATAATCTAACAATTACTACATGTGTGTAGCGAGTCTTGTAATTTAGTTGTTTGCAATTAAACGTAATATCACCCCACTTATTTCAACAGCGTTTTTAGTTGAATGCTGTCGGCTACACTGTCATGCTAGAAACAGCTGTGAAGCTCTGGATAGATCTTGTGTGTGATGGAAGGCCGTATGTGTTTTAGTAGGTCTCTGCACCTCCACACAAAACTGTGGTGACACAAGATTGGATGGCACTAATTTGCACGACCACATCACACCAAAAATATAGCCGCCTACCTCGTCAAAACTAAATCCCCTTGACTATTACATATGAACAATCTCCAATATGAGTACAGACCCTGTCAGGCGCGCATGTCAATGATTCTAGTCCCGCACTGAAGCCATCATCAGCCAGTTTTGTTTTCGTCAATTTCCAACATTATTATGCTCATCTTTGTCGCCATAGTTATTACAACGTTTCGGCCGTTGTACGCTCTGACCTTCTTCAGGTGGTTGGAATGTCGAACTGAACCCTTTATTTCGCTCACTTGGGTAGACTGTTCTACTTCCACGTGCATGTTTAATGATGTCAGTTATCAGTTATCTCCTGTTAATTCCCCTCTCCAAGTTCTCCACTGCCTTAACCGGGTATTGAACTCACACTCTTTGGGTCCTGTCACCAACGCCTTTATGTTGCCATGTGTCCTTGTCTGTGTATGAATTTCTGGGTATTATAAACCTAATGTCTCAGCAACCATTTTTTACCAGTGCTCATATAGCAATTTTTTTTTTGCTGTTATCATTGCATGTTTTTACCAGAGCTCATATTGCAATTTTTGTTGTTATTATCGCTTCTCTCTGGCACTCCTGTAATCCTGTATTCCAACTATTACTGCGTTTGTGTACCAAGTTTTGTATCAATGAATTTAGTTGTTTGTAAGATGTGCTTGTTTATCTTACAGCCGTCAATTTGTCGTTAAATAACTTACGTCCAATGTATTTGATAAGCTACTGCCGTTGTTATTGTTATCTATACGAGTGTCACAATTAATTGCTTCTTACCTTCCATATAAGAAACCAGACTATCATGACGAAGCAGATGGCTCCAGCTGAACTGGCAGCGGACACCCATATGTAGTTGATTGGCCTCCCAGGGGGCATTTCCGCCACAAAACGCCGGTAAATCTGCAACATGAAAATGTGGAAGTATTGTAGATAAAGATAGATATGAATATAGATATACAGACAAGCAGATAGATATGAAGATAGATAGATAGATAGATAGATAGATAGATAGATAGATAGATAGATAGATAAGAATAAAGTGAAAGACATTTGAATATATATATATATATATCTATTATTATTATTATAAACGTTATTTTAATTGGTACACGTGTTTGTATAGGCATCCCTGTTTATTTAAAAAAAAAAATTAACATCTACTCACGTCGATTTTATTAAAAAGAACATACCTCTCGGCAGGGATCGAACCTGCATTCCTCTTTTTTTTCTGAGAAACCACTTTTTAACTAGATTTGACTTACCTATAGACTATGGATGACCTTTCACCAAGATTTGCTAGCTTGATTGTTTTTTAAGGAGTCGTTAGGCAGCGCTGTGTAAGAACGTTAAAAACAGGGAGACTGACTGTTTCTTCCTCTCTAGCATATGGTAGTGCCAACGCCCACACAAGTTCTATTCCCGGCTTGTATATAATATCTTCCTTCAGGTAACTGAACTCTTTCGCACACAAATACACACGCACACACAAAATTCCTAATATCTGCATTTTAATGTCTTCTTTCTTTTCAACTATTTTTGCATGCATACAAGTTTATTTACTTTCTTGTTAATCGTTTATTAACTATTTATAAAACAAAGGAAAATATCGCCTTGTTTAAAGAAGGTCGGAGCGTACAACGACCGAAACTTCGTGAATATGGCAATAAAGACGTGGACAATAACCTGAATAATATTTAAATTTATTCGGTTTTCTTTTCATCTCTATTAACAATGGCAACTCCTCATTTACATACGTCAATTTTTAGTCCAACTAGAAGCAGTGTACGCAACCGTATGGCGCTAAAGGTCACAGGTTTAATATCAGAAATGTGGTAAATAATCCCAAATATTTATCATTACCTTGACGTTTGGTTGTTCTGTCCAAGGGAGCAAATATTTCATGCCTTCATTTTGTTCTAATTTTATATCAGGCGAAATTTCTAAATAATCCACCGTCTGAAAAAAAATAACAATTTTCTGTAATTAATACAATTAACAGTGTAAATTGATCTTTTAACTTGTAATTAGTAATTAATTAATAAAACGCCATCGTAATATAGAAGAATTAGTGATTATTCTAATGAATAAAGTATTTTTAAACATAATCTCTGATTTTTTTTTTAATTCTTTTATGTGTAAAATCTTTTCAGGACGTCATCTATTGAAACAAAAATAAAACATTTTTTCTGACTCCTTATCAATTATAACAGCAATAAAATTTTTTAAAAAAATTGATAGCCTACTGCTGGTTAAATTACTATAAAACTTTGTTAATAATCCACAGTAAAAAAAAATAATGCTATACTCTGATGGAATACGTGGTAAATCCATATATTATAACAAGAAGTAAGTAGTCTGCTAAATCCTCTTCCTGCCCATTTGTTAGTGTCGATAATTCCGTATATAACAAATTTTTTTTAGGTTTTCTTTGGCCCATGTAGTGTTCTCTTAAAAACTTGTATCGTTTTTTTGCCAGTTGCCTTTTGCATCTCTCATCACTAGTGCTAAACTTCTGTCGTCCAGTACTTGAATCAACTCAACAAAAATGTCTTCTTTCTTTTCCTTTTCAATGTCCTCTTTCTTGAGTGCATTTTTTAATTTCAACGTGTGAAGGTGCCCCATAAATTTAACTTCCCACAGTTCGTAGTTCTTTTCATTTCCGTTGAATAATATGTTCCTTATCCTGGGCCTATAACCTGTTGGATTAGCGTGGTAAGTCGACATATTATAATGACAAGGAGTATGTAGGAAGGAGAATGGAACAAGAGAGATACAACGTAACAGGTTTATTCACCAACTGACTTACAATAGATCAAATATACAGGAAGTATAAAATTAACCCCTTTTTAGAGAGTTCCTTAGGAAGGGAATTAACTGCATTTGCAGTTTACACTAACATACTGGATCCAAAGCCACATAGAAATTAGAGGAAAAACCCAAGAACATTCAGCCGAAAAACCCACCCAAAACGAAACCCGTAACAATAATTTCAAGATCCCTTATATGGATCTGAAAAGTAAAATAAACTTACATTAAACAGAAACGGCAAAAGCGTTGGATCAGGAACAGAAATAATAAATTTCACATAGTCTAACCAATCTAAGGTGAATGGAGGCAAATATCTAGAGAAACAAGAAAAGAAGTAACCCTGGCTCGACTACACATCAGCCACACGTACCTCATCCAGTCATACTTGCTAAAGAATAAAGATTAACCAACATGTCAAGCTGAACTCAAGGTGAAACACATGTTAACTGAATGTATATAAGTATCATCTGTAAGACATAAATACTACAAGGAAACCAACACGGGAAAACTATTTGGAAATACTGTAATTGTCAACATAATGTCCTAACTTAAAAAAATAAGTTTATACGAAAACATAGAGTTGTTGCAAAACTAAGTATACACTAACAAATGTGGGCACACATTGATTATGTAACATACCAATAAAACTGTATATCTACTTTCGCGATCTCCTGTATAACAAATACAATAGGCAATTTACAAATTATATAACATACGTTTCCTCTGACAGTATAAAATTATTTACAAAATATCTATAGTTAAAAGCATAACATTACGTTCAAAATATTTAGATTTCAGCATTAAATAACCCAGAGAGTTTGATACGTTGTTAACTAAAACAATAAAACCAAACTTTCCAGGCATGGCGTTCATGGTTCTTAAAACGTATTGTCTAAGTTGTTCTAAGTAACGTATATGCTTGCGTATCATGCGACATTTGAAGACCTAATTTTGAAGATTTTAAGGGGATCGCATCGTACACGAGATATAAAATTAGCTAATGTACGCCGTTGACCGATCTATATATCTATTTACTGTAGTGAAGCTATATTTAAGATAAACATGATTTTGATAAAGCTGATATTTCACTTAACTGTATCCAATAATAATGCATTTAATATTCACATATTAGTATCGTATTATAAAATACAAACATAGCGAATATGTATTCTTTTCCATTGTTTACGTTTATAAGATGTTTCTCTGATCGAAACGACTGTGTATGCTTTCCAAATTGGCTGATTGCGACAAACTTTTTTTTTTAAGCATTTCACCCCAAGCAAGGTGGGAAGCCACTAGGACGCAAGGGGTTACAGAAAATATAGAGCGAGATCAGATAGGAGTGATAGAAGAGGGTATGAGGAGAAGGGTAGTGGATAGATCAAGGCAACTGGAGATGTCGATTGACATTACACTTGAATAGCTGGAGATTATAGCTCTCAGGGAAACTGGAATAGGGAAGGGAGTTCTACAGGCGAGAGGTGCGAGACATGAAGCTATTAGAGTAGAAGAGACGGCTACATTTAGGAGTTTCGACAGTGAAGGGGTGAGAGCGGGATGCCAGCCTCGTAGGGCGCTTGAATTCATGAAGTCTGGGAACCAGCGAATGCAGCTCCTCGGAGCAATTACCATGAAAGTATTTGTAGAACAGACAGAGAGAGGCGACGGCGCGTCTGTGAGAAAGTGACTGTAGATAAGATGCCAGAGCAGGGCCAATTATATTGCATATCCGCCTCTGGAGCCAATCAAGAACACCGAGGCCAACATAAGGGGCACCAGACCATATATGGCAGCAATACTCCATGCAAGGGCGAATTTCGAAGGATTTGTTTTTACTTGCTAAAGAAAAAATTATTCCTTGAACAATTATTTTTATTTTAGCATACAGAGGTAAATAAAGATTTAATAAAGTAAAAATCATCCATAAAATTATTAATCAACTAAAAACCTTTAAAGTTGCTCTCCCTGTCCCTATTGATAAATAAGGCTTTGAATCCTTCGTCACCGAGGCAGTCGTCATACTGATCAGCTTCAGGTCTTTGATAATTTCATCCTCTTCTATATTTTTGTATAGGGCATCGTTTTCACTTCCATCCAAAGCATTTGCTATTCCATATTTTTTAAATGCTTTAACAAATTTGTATCTATCTCAGTCCACGATTCTTTCACCCACAAACACGGTAAAGGAAAAAAGGAATTCTCATGATAAACGAGAAACATGATAAATTCATTTATATAAGTGAAACTTTGAGGGTCGGACGATACGTAAGATCGGGCATTACATTTTTGTCCTTATTCTAGCATCCATCCTCTCTCCCTTCAAGTCTGTGTAAGGAAGTTATTCAGCGTCCATTGCTCTATAATAGATTTACTACATATCTTTGTCCCCGTTCTGCCATTCAGTTAACAAACTTGTTAAGCTGATTTGTTCTCTGCCCTTCAGCTTGTCCTGAGAGTGCTAAATTCTCCAGGCCTTCTTTTCTCATTATGTACCCCAGACATTTCAGCTGTCTTTTTCCGATTGTCAAAGTGTCCTTTTAGTTTTCATTTTCCTTAAAACATCCATATTGCTCACATGTTTAGTCCGTGTTATTCTCAACAGCCTTCTGTAGAACCACATTTCTGTTACTTCTAGTTTATTCTTCCTCAATGAAGAGGTTGTGCAGAATTCACGGCCATACAGTTCAGCACCCTCTTCTTCCTTTCTAATCTTATTAAATACTAGCCGAATTACTTGCCCCTTGCTGCGTATCACACATTTTTTGTAAGAAAATGATGATTGTTATTAAATCATTCTTATAATTTGTGGACAAAAATGATGCATTTCAGTATTACTCAATGATCTTGTCGATGTGACCTCCATCTTCTGGTTTTCTCCTTCTATATTTTGGATAAGATTCATTCCCTTATTCAAATTTAAATTTAATGTAAATCAAAGGGAAAGAAATCAGTGGTGGGGTGCAAAAACAGCTTCATCTGGCCCCTTTGATATGTATTTCGTGCAATACTTGATTGTATGAATTGATGAGCAGATTTTAACATTGATATAACAGATGAATTATCGCAACAAATATGTATTATGAAGCACTCCCCAGTAATTGGTGATTTCTTTCTCAACTCGACGTCCATATTGTCTCATTTTGATCTTGCCGATGTGACCTCCATCTTCTGACTTTCTCCTGCTATATTTTGAATAGGAGTCACCCCCTTGTTCAAATTTAAATTTAATTTAAATCAAAGAGAAAAAAATTTCAGTAGAGGGTTTGTGCCCTCCGGGGGCCCCCTTTCATCAAAAGGTAATATACTTATCCAAGTACCCTTTGAGGCATTCCCTTGTTCAAATTTGAAATTAATTTAAATCAAAGTGAAAAAATTCAGTGGGGGGTGTACCCCCCCAATCTCCCCCCCCCCGGATCGCCTTTGATCAAAAGGAAATATACTTATCTAAGTACCCTGGATAATGTAATTTCAGAATATATATGGTTATGGGGGTCTATCTCTCAAATCCTAGGAGGAGTTCGATAACAGACAGACAAAGACTACAACTTTATATATATAGAGAGATGTAGGTGTGTATAGTCCCGCGTTTTTGAAAAACACTAGTTTTATTTACGTTTTAAAACAAAAGATAGAAGATGTGATTCCTAAATCCGGATGTTCATTGAAATAGCAAAGCATGCATTCGAAAAACTAAGCAAAGTAATAAGAAACACGAAAATTTCGTTAGAAACAAATACATGTGCATAACTGTTATGCAATATGAATTCTCCTATATGGCAGTGAATGCTGGATAGTCTCATCACAGAAGAGACTTGAAGCAAGAGAAATATGGTTTCTACAGAAAGATGCTGAGAATACCATGGTCTGAACATGTGACTAACGACGAAGTTTTAGAGAAAATGAAAACAAAAAAAAACAATCTCCCATAGATGAAGATAACAGAAAAACCGTTCTACAGAAGGATAATGAGAATATCATAAACAGAGCGCGTAAGCAACGAAGTCTCAAGCATAATCGAAACAAAAATGGCAATTTGAATCAAAACCTGAAATTTCTTGGACACATAGTAATGAAAGTGGGCTTGGAGAAATTGACCCAAACAGACATCTAGTAGACAAAATGGACAGAAGGTAGTTGTTCACTTACGTGGCAAGCTTGTGTGAATTGATAGCTGAACGGGGGAGTGTATTTCTTAGTAAAAGGACAAACGTTGCTAAGAGCTACAAGGAGTGATTGTGGAGAATCATGACCAACTATTACCTGAATGGACACTGCACGCAGGACTCTGTAATCCAGTATTACTTGACGTATACCTGGAAGGGAGATGAAAGTCACAAAGTACCTCCCCTGTCAGTGGACACACACTCGTCATAAGTCAAACACCAATGAACTGTTAACTTGTTTTCATTAAAAAAAAAAAAAAGTTGCTTGCTTGCTTGCTTGCTTCTTCCCATCCTTAGTGCTGAGTACCGGAGACCAGGCACAATTGTTAGGGTGTTGATGTCAGAGTTGTCCTTCTCCTCGACAGGATGCCAACCACGTGTATAGAGCCAAGTCTGCCTTGGTATTTAAGCCGTTGCTATCCATTATACCATCTGTACATCCGGGTAGACAGAGCTCGTTAGTCTTGATTGTCAGCCAGTCTAGAAGAAAGATCACTCTGATTTCAAAAGCAGGATAGATAGGTCTCCTTTGATGACAACCTTTCAAGTGGCCAACTGCTTCATCCTTGTGATGAGGGCGGATGAGTTACGGCTCGGCAGCCAGCTTCCGAGTAATGGGCGGAAGTGGATTTAGGATATGTTATAATGGCTTCTAAGAACTGGATAGGTAATTCTGGAAAAGCAGGTTGATATGTATTCACTCAATTTGTCCTATTATCTGTCTACGACTATAATGTGCCAGCGATTGAAGCGAATGCATGGATAAGTGGATTCATGCCTTTCCCGAGTAAACTAGAGTGCAAGTAGTCTCTCGACTTGAATTCAAATTCGGGTTGGTCGGTTCTGTTCTCCGAGTTGGCGACCATTTCCTCCAAGGAGAACCTGGTATCTTGTGTCGCTAAAATGTTGTAAGCGTTCATAAACAGAGACGTCGTTTCAGAAGATATTGATTGGTATGCAGAGTATCAACACGAAAATAACAGAGATTGTAATGACTGTTTTCTTTTGAGCAAAAAAATAAAAAAAACAAAATGGAGGCGCAGATGGAGAAAAGAGTCATTGATAAAACATCCTTAATAATTAATCAATTTGACTGATTATCGCTAAGGTTTTTTTGTTTTAGTTTTATAAGACATAATATATATATATATATATATATATATATATATATATATATATATAAGGCGTTCGGCAAAGGAGGAGAGTATTAAACAAAAAATAGAAAATTGCTTTTTTTCACTGCAAATTATTCATTATATCGTAAGAATTTTACAAAAGAAAATTAGAGCCAATTACATAATATTTCAAGTTCAGCATAGATTTACAGTTCGTAACCATGCAATGAGATGAGGTAACATAAACCTAGATTTTTCTGGGAAATATTATTACATTATTATTACATAATTATAGTGAAATCATTAAGTTTTTTTGTCAAAAGCATTTTATTTTTGATCGTATATTAATTCAAAATATTCCATATTATAAGCTTTATTCTTGAACCGGAATAAGATCATTCTAACTTTCAGAATTTCACTATTGCCCATCAAAATGACTAGAAGAAAGCGATCTAAAATCAACAATGGAAAGGGGAGATAACAAAGCGTAAACGAAATAGATGCAGTTTGTTCAACTTAGGAAACTTAGCATTGCAGCAAAAATATTCTAAAATAGTGCCAATAACAAAGGAGAAAATGAAAAATATCTGATACCAAACCAAATATAACATCAAAATTTATATCATTTTTATTTATTTTTTATGTAAATAAATACATAATTGTCAAAAATGTTTCCGTAAAACTTGATATTTCCTGTAATAAATTCTTAATAAATATTATTATTGTTATTTAACTTAAGTGTAAGGTAGTCCTACATTTACAATTCCTTACTGTTAACCATGAAAAGAAATATTGATCAAAAAAGGCTAAGACCTTTAAGCGCGTATTGCTGCAAAATTATCAAATGTTGAATACGCCCCCTCCACCTCCGAACACGTCATATGGTCTGTAATAAAAATAAATGTTTTTTTTTTTTTATTTTTGTTTGTGTTTCTTCTTCGTGGTTTTTGCAGGATTCGTAAAACCATATTATTTGTAACACCAGGTAGAGCAAGAAAAATAAGAACGAGTCAAAATTATGGCCGCCTTAATACGACTTAATCAACCATCTCCAATATTCTTCGTTTCAGTGATTTGGGCGTGGAAATAACACAAAAATTAGTCAGTGGGATTCGCTTTATATAAGGTGTTGCCTTATATAATTCGAATTATATTCTTAAATAGCCTATCATCAAATCGTGACATTCATATTGATGTTAATCATTGCCCCAAACCCGTTCCGAAAATATGTAAACTGTCAGCTATATACAAACCGCTTTCTCAGATCGATGTTTCAAATTAGCTTCGAACGAATGAAACCTATAGGTCTTAACGAGGACCATCCTTCTTTAAACTACGAGGACTGGCGCTACAGAATCACAAACAAAATCTATAACAGATTACAGAAACTACATCACTTGAAGACTTCCAACACCAGTAACAACTAGAAATGCACATGGAACTCGAAGAAAAATTAATGACATAATGAAGATGTTGATGTTCCACACCACTCCAAACGAAATGTTAGGAAAGAAGACTCCATCAATACTGGAAAGAACAATAGCAGATACTGGACTTGAAAGAAACCAATTTTATAAATTGTAGTGTCCTCCCTCTAAAGAGTCTATGTTAGACTCAACCGCCTACTATAACTTTAGTAGGAGAAAAGGCCTTGGGGAACAGTCGACCAGACTGTTCACTGTCGAACTCTCTGCCTCGACAGAGAGGAACCCGGACGAGGCTTTGCCACAGGGCAAAGTTTCGTCCGGGAAGGTAGACAGTCCCTGAACCCGTTTAGGCGAGTTCATAGGGAATATTTTTGGCCGAGCCTACGGGCTCTGAGAACCCACAATAAACCGGCCTTGTGCCACATACACCCTCGTGGGGGGGCTGTTAAATATTAACAGTCGACCAGATTGTTCAACTGTCGAAGCCTCTGCTTCGGCAGAGGGGAACCTGGGCGAGGCTTTACTAAGTTTCGTCCGGGGAAGTAGACAGGCCCTGAACCCGTTTATACGGGTTCTAAGGGAATATTTTTGGCCATGCCTACGGGCTCGGAGAGCCCACGGTAAACTCGGCCTTGTGCCACATACATCTCTCGTGCTTGTTAAATAAAACGGTCGAATAGACTGAACGTTGGTCAACCGACACACGCTCACTAGTCGGGTAATACCCTTTTGTTGTATTTACTGTTTAATATATATCTGTAACACTTGTTTTGTTATTTCTTAAACCATTTACTTGGTCACAACATCTTGGGTCCTAATCTATTCGACTGTTAATATTTAACAGTCCCCACCCATGAGGGTGTATGTGGCACAAGGCCGAAATTTCCGTGGGTACTGCGAGCCCGTAGGATCGGCAAAAATAGTCCCTTTGAACCAGTATAAACGGGTCCAGGGTCTGTCTACCTCCCCGGACGAAACTTTGCCCTTTGGCAAAACTTCGTCCGAGTTCCTCTCTGCTCAAGACAGAGAGTTTGACAGTTGAACAAGCGAAGGCACTGTTCCTCCGCGGCTTACTTTCCTACTAACTTTATAGTAAGTGGAAGAGTCCACAATAGCCTCATTAGAGGGAAGACATCACAACAATGGCTTATTTAATGCCGAATTATTTTGCTGTAATAATGGTTTTAGTGATACCAGTCTTACTAATTAACGCACAGTTATGGAGTAGATTATGTAGATTTAGACCTTTACTTAAAGGTATTTACCTTTAAGGTAATAAAACGAACCCAACTGGAATTGGTACTCAGTTCTCCGATTAACAATTCCGAGCATTTATCCATTAGACCACTCACAAATCTAAGCTTAAAGCACCTAGTATTCCCAATCGGTCACCCATCTAGGTACTGACCAGACTCGGCGTTGCTTAACTTCGGTGACCGTACGGGAACCGGTTTTTCAACGTGATGTAGCCGAAAGTTACTATTACTTTTACATTCCACTTTTAGTCGATGTGTCGTCAGCCATGACAGATACTGTTTTGTTCATATGACGTGACCAAATATGCTACAGCAGAGAGATTAAAAATATGCCGTCCTGGGTAAGACGATAAACTACATCCGACAGCAAGGCCTTTGATCAGGTTTTGAGGAGCTTAGAACCACCTCTTAATTGCTGGTGTTCCCAGGTTCACCAATCAGAGTCCCACAAAAGGGACCAAACCACCATGAAAGTATAAAAATAGGTTTTCATACAAGCAATACCTTTTTGGAAAATTATTTTACCAGCAAGACATTTTTGAAAAAACAAAATATTAACAGCAATACATTTTTGAAAAAAAATATTACCAGCAATATATTTTTGAAAAAAAATAATACCAGCAATACATTTTTGAAAAAAAATATTACCAGCAATACATTATTAAAAAAACAAAATATTACCAGCAATAACAATCTTGTCGGCATTAAATAACCTATCGAGGTTGATATGCCGTAAAACAAATTAAACCAAACCATAATAATATATATATATATATATATATATATATATATATATATATATATATATATATATATATACTCTGCTAAGAATTGAACATATACCTGCAAAAGCTTCCGTGCATTTGTAAAATTCAATTTGAGAATAAATCGAATTTTATCCCTGGCTCTGATCTCTGGAACCGGACACCGTAAAATGCTACATATCGTATTAGGACATTTCTGCAAAGAGAGAAAAATATGTTTGAAAAGCTAAATATAAATACAAACATTTAATGTTAAAAACATTGCCTCTGCTACGATTCTGAATTCGGTGGTATCCTTCTAGACTGATTGCCAACCAAGGCTAGAGAGTCTAGTCTGTCCTACTATTTGCCCAACGACTGGGAAAAAAGACATGGATTCTCACCTTCCCCAATCGTCGAATGCGGAAATTGAAGGGAACATGCTGATTGGTCATCGTTAAGCCGCCTGTACAATAACATGCCTTTCCACAAACAGAAAAAGTGTCTGGCCAACGATAAAATATAGGTTGAAGATCTAAAACAAAATCGGCTGGCATTATCAAGTAATTGGCATTTACCAACGTCCTCACGATGCAGGATGCAGTATAAGACAGGCTTCTATGTGGGGCAAATCCGAGTCCGTAGGATCAGGCAAAAATTGGCCTTAGACCACGCATACACGGGACCGGATTTGTCTACCTCCCAAGACGAGACTCTGCTCTTCGGCATAGGCTCGTGCAGTTTCTTCTCTGCCCGAAGACAGAGTGTTCGACAAGCCTGTCGCAAGCCTGACAGCGAACTACCTGGCTTGAAACAGCTTTTTAATTATCAAATAATTACCATCTTGATAAAAAAGATCACAGGGAAATCCTAAGGCGGATTTCGGGATTAGAATGGTAACGCGTAAACCACATGTATATACTAGGTGGAGCAGCAAAATTGTCCAATTGTTAGATTAAGCTCTAAGCCATTGTAACTTAGAAATGATTAAAGATATCTTACTGGAATTCTACTAGGTTTTTAACACTATTGTACTCTACTTTGTGCGATAAGAATGTATAATTATTCTCCAATTTTAATAGAAGAATCATAAACGAAAATCATATGTTCATCATTAATTAATCATATCTAAAGATCATGAGCGCATGAAGTATAGAAATAAAGTTCAAATATATACATATTATTCAAAGATTATTTTCCAACTTATTCAAGATGATCTTAGCTCTCTCTAACTTTCTAACATTCTGTCCTGGAATACGATTTCATTTTCAAATCTTTTTTGACTGCTCTTTAGACTCTGTTATAGATGAAACTCCTCTCACACGTGCCAAACGTCTTATGAATTGAGTTGGATTTTCTCTAATGGATCTCTTTAGCTCTAAGTTGAAATGATGATCCTTCTTCCTGCTGTGAAATCCTGATCCAGTTTTGCTCTCTACTGTTCCCTCTTTTTTAAAATTATTCACCGTTCTCTGAATGGTTCTTGAAAGGACATTGAAGATGCAAACCAAAGTATGAATATTAGTCTCATTACAGAAGATCGAAATGATCATTTTCCTCGATGATAAACAGCAACAAAGGTTGGATGACTCGGCTGCCTTCGGTCAGGAAATGCAAACTGATACAGCCGTGCAGTCCCGAGTCTATTAACATTCTCTCGGCCGTATGTAAAAATCATATCTACATGAGCAAGATATGAATATTCTGCCATTGTTAATGCACACAAATGACAAATGTAACCTAGTCTACAGGATAACACAGCGCCATCTACCGTAAACTTTCTATAAACTTAATGATTCAAAAACAAAGGATTTGTGAACATATATTTCTATGGACTTTTGTCCATGTTTTTGGTGTGTGTAACCCGCCCTCAAATTTTATAAAAATGTTTGATACACCCTGTATATATTAATATACATTATTTTTTTATAATAACACACAGACACACACACACACACACACACACACATATATATATATATATATATAGAGAGAGAGAGGGGGGGGGATATATTTGAACGAAGTAGCTAAGTGGTTTTGGCTACTATAACCAAGTAGAATACTGTAGCAGTAATCGACTGGTATGTGTCGTAGTCGCAGGTAAGGAGTGTAGATCAATGGCGTAGTCCAATGGGCGTCGTTATAGACTTAACACTCAGACTAAGGCTCTGTTGACTCTCGTACACGTCCGTCGGTATTTATGACGGACACCAGCCAATCATATTCAAGTGAGGGAGACACACAGGTGTACGCATATTCATTATATCAGATAGATAGATAGATAGATAGATAGATAGATAGATAGATAGATAGATAGATAGATGGCAGAATCTGGTTATCTAGATTTTTTATTCAGTTTGGTATGCGATCATTGTATAATATTTCAAGTTAAAAACCTTCGTTTAATATTCAAAGCATAATATTCAAAATAATTTTGTGATTTTGTCTTTACCGCAACTGCTTGGATGGTAACTCTGGCTTGTGATAAAGTCTCGCTGATGAACGACGTTCCTTCTCCTAAGTTGACCGTAGAGACAGTCATTTTCCCAGGGATTGTCACATCTTTGTCACTCGAACTGTCTTCGGTGTTTTGCCTGACTAGAAATTCACAAAGTTGTGAATTGCTATTCTCATCTTGCACCTGTTTGATTAACAAAAAATATTTAGTGTTAGATATAACAATATTTGTTTAGCTTTATTATTATTATTATTATTAGTAGTAGTAGTGAAATTAATATTATTATTAGTAGTAATAGTATTGCTATTATTACTAGTATTATTAGTATTGTTATTATTATTAGAAGTAGTATTAGTAGTATAAATATTATTATTAAAAGTAGTAGTATGAGTATTATTATTAGTAGTATTAATAGTAGTAGTATGAGTATTATTGCTATTAGTAGAAGTAGTAATTATCATTATTAATAGTAGTAGTGCTATTATTATTAGTAGTAGCATGAATATTATTAGTAGTAGTAGTAGTAGCAGCAGTATTTATCATTATTATTAGTAGTAACTTTATTAGTAGTAGTAGTAGTAGAATGAGTATTATTATTATTAGTAGTAGTAGTAATTGTCATTATTAGTAGTGTTATTATTATTAATATTAGTACTATGTGTATTGCTATTAGTAGTAGTAGTAGCAGTAGTAATTATCATTATTATTAGTAGTAGTAGTAGTACTTTTATTAGTAGTAGTAGTAGCATGAGTATTATTATTAGTAGTAGTAGTAGTAGTAGTAATTATCATTATTATTAGTACTATTAGTAGTAGTAGTATCTTTTGATTTCTGTTTAGTACAATCCATTACCAGGACCTGCGATAAGGCAAGATAGTAAATATACACATTCTGTTTTCACAAATTCTCATGTTAAGTGCTACATAGCAAGTATTGTGTTTATATTCTCTTTCTATTTATATTTCTCTGCTCAGTAGATGAATAGTGTCAAACAGTACCTTATTTTTCATTCTTGTAAATTTTCTTGTCTGTAACTTTTTTGTTTGTACCCATTGCTCGGCATAACAGTATTTTAAAAGTTGGGTGGCACATATTTTCAATATATTTTTATATTTAATTATTTAGTCATATTCTTTAACGGATATATTTTTATCTATTGAGATGCCATTGTTTTGCTTTTAATCTTTAATTTCTATAGCTAGCCCTTCTGTAGTACTCCGTTTCTCTAGCCTCAAGTCTCTTCTCCATCTATGAGTAGATTGTTCAATCTTCACTGCCATATTGGAGAATTGATATCACATAAAGGTTCAGTGCTATTTTCTTTGTTTCTAATGCAATTTTCCAGTAAAATACTACATCTACTAAAAAGTATATTCACTTTAAATCCAGGGTTGCCAAAAAAAGGCGCACACCCATCGAAGGTGCAATTCGATTATTTAACGGGGGTAATTTGAGAATTTTAACAGTGAATGTTTTTCTAGTGAGTCTGTGTGTGCATGCGTGTGAATGCGAGTTAATACACAAGGTACATATACAGTATGTATGCATAAGATATTTATATATATGTATATATGTAATTACGTATGTACTGTGCATAAATATATATATATATATATATATATATATATATATATATATATATATATATATATATATTAGTAATACAATATCTTTATAAATATTGTAAAATTCTAAACTTAAATGATTGCATACACCCTTATGCAAATTAATTGAAACAAAACGAATAATTCCGTTATTATTTACTTTTTTCGTATTTTTCCAAAGAAACATGGCCCAGTGCACATGTTAGTATTTCGTATGTCCATTCCACAAAGTCGTTCCTTGTAGATTGACCACAGATTCTCGATTAGATTTAAATCAGGAGAGTTTCCAGGCAAGTCTATAGCACACTAAGTCTATTTGCTCACTGGTAAGGATTGCCAGTGTGTTCGTGCAGTGTTACAATTTTCATACGCTTCCTTGGAGTAACATCCATCGAAGACAATGGCCGTAGGACAACTAATCGACAGTCAAAACAATAGTGTTTGGGCGTGATAAAAATCTGGTGCAATCACGGATGACGCAGTATTTTTCGAGGCCAAACAAATTTCATCATACACCCCGAAATAAGATTGTTTTTTTAATATTTCTCTTGCCGGATGCATTGTATTGCAATAAATGTTCAACATTCCATCACGTGCCAGATCTTGCCAGTGGGCCGTCGGTTTGCTTTAACTGCTATAAAATAATTTCTCGTGAGATATAGACCGAAATGAACATTACTTAACTTTGGCAATGAAACGGAAACTTATAATTTCAGTTAGAGTAAAATGATTTGTAGACTGACCTCAATGTCGTTGTCAGTGAAGAGGATATTGCCGTTGGGGAGGAACATCGGGATCTGGAAAATAGCCCAAGTCATGGGCATTGAGCTTGGTCCAAGATTGTGAATATCAAAGTAGATGGACATCACTTCACTTCCGTTAAGTGAAATCGCCTCACTTTTTGTGTATTTCACGGGAAACGCTTCCGAATTTCTGTGGAACGAAGTTTGAATCAGTCAGTTTAAAAAAAACAAAAAAACTAGAAAGCAATGAACAACAATAATGAACAACGTTAGCATATATTGACCTAAAAAAATAAAGATTTGTTTCTGAAACTTGAAGATATTTTTTTTTCAGACTGACACACATTATTTACGTTATTCGAACTATTGTCCTCATCTTTGTCGCCATAGTTATTACAACGTTTAGAAGAAGGCCGGAGCGTACAACGGCCGAAAAGTTGTAATAAATATGAGGACAAAGATGAGGACAATAGTCCGAATAACGTAAATAGTGTACATAATACTTCATTTCATAAATATAAACAGAAACTGACACACATTATTCGTACTCTGTTCGTGTGACGTACGTTTGGCTTTTCATAGTAATGTTACAGAAAGATCAGACAACGTCACTTCACGAACAACGTCGTAGCGGCTCCGTATGTACTGCAGCTATAACAATAATTATGTGTCTATTGATATACAGTAACTCTTCCATCTTCAGTTAGATTTTGAATTCAGTGTTTGCTTCTCCTAAAATGTCTGGTTACCCCATGACAAGAGAATCCAGTCAGTCTCCTTAAACCCATAATTTAGGATTTGAACGAGATGCATTCAGGGTATTTGTATGAAAATAATAAATATGGCGACAAAGATGAGGACAAAATGTAAATGTCTATTTAACAACCTCAATACGAAATGTAATTCCTAATGCTGAAAACGAATGTGGTACCCACTTCCTTCTGCAAAAACGTTTAAAAATTATGGAAGCCTTTATTATTAAAAAAAAAAAACAAGCCAAAGTTAAAGTAGCTCTTCTCGAGTGCGTTACACAACTCGCACATCCTATCAGGCAAATATTATTAAAGGTTTGCATATAATACCATGCAACCAGAATAAAGCATACAAACCAGAAACTAGTTGCTCCTTATATATATGGGTAACTGTACTTTAAAAAATACATGGAAAAGATTCATCAGGTTATGTATTGAGATAGAATGGATCAACATTTTCTAACCTCCTGATGAGTGGATTAATTCTGTGAAACTTGAAGTGAGGGAAGTTTGTGAATTTTTTATGGTATTTATTTGTTTATATATATATATATATATATATATATATATATATATGTATGTATGCGTATGTGTGTATATATAGAGAGCTCTGACCAGAGCAAAATACGGACGCATTTAAACCAATATGGAATCGTACCAACCTCAATATGAAATGTAATTCTTAATGCTGAAAACGAATGTGTTACAAACTTCGTTCTGCAAAAACGTTTAAAAATTATGGAAGCCTTTATTATAACAAAAAACAATTCTCCAACCCTTAATAGCCTTAATTATGAAAACGTTGACACTGTACTGGCCGGTTTTCAAATTAAAAATACGTTCACTTTCAATAAAATTTATAAACTTTATTGAGTAGCTGCCTTATTTTTTCACTTTTATTTTTCTTAATATTGTGAATTGCGTCTATTGTTCTCTGCATTCCAGAAGCTTAATGATGAAAACATGATATTTGGTAGGGTTTAAACTTGGGTCCCTTTTTTTAGGTGGAATCACCGTCTAATCGACGGTCAGGTCTGTGAAGCTCTCTGTGGCACGACGAGTCAGACAGCACTTTTTGTACAAAGGAGAAGTCACGTTCGAATCCTTTTGCAGGACACATTTTATTTATTAAGATTCACGAACGGACAGACCGGTAGACGTAATTCACACTGCTTAAAAACGTCTATTCAAACACAGGTATTCCCTAAAATATAATGTTTAAAGTAATAAAAAAATTCTATATATATATATATTTAACTCACACGGTCAATTCAGGAACTGCTTTCATGTTGAGCTTAACCATTGCTGCTCGCTGCTTGTTTAATTTATTAATATCGGCGCTTTTTGTTGAGACATTTCCATGCAGCCAAATGCCCTTTTCGATTACACTTTTATTGATGTAGGGCAGCTGGTACATTAGTACGAATTTGATGTTCGTATTTCTCACCAAGGGGTTGGCCACATCACACTCAACCATGTTTTTCCACTCCAGACAATCGACTCGATGATTCTGCTGCAGCATACGGACTCCCATAAAACGCAAGTTATTCTCCGTAAAGAATGTAGCAGTGGTGAGAAAAGCATTTTGTCCGTCGTTCCCAACCACAACTTTGAACTCTATTTTTTTCGTTTGGTTTACGATGACTTCGTTCATAGCTGTCAGTGACAATGTTAGATCCGAACGGCAGATGTCATCTTGCCCGCAGTCTTTGGCAAATAATACCTTAAAGAATTGAAAAGGTTAAAGATGAAGAAAGAAAGACAATTGAGACAAGAAACGATTTCTTAAATTTTCAATAAGTTGAATTGATAAAAATAGCAAGGAGAAAATCTTTTCCAAAATACGTTGATTTTTTTTTTTTTTTTACAAAAAAGAAGGGAAAGTACTTCAGAAGAGAAAGAGAAAAAAGAGTAAAAGAAAAAAGAAAACAAAATAAAAATGTTTTTTGTAAAAGGATAAAAGATGAAAAAGAAAAGAAAGAAGGAAGAAAGAAGTAAAAGAAAAAAAAGAAGAAGAAAAAAGAAAGAAAGAAAGAAAGAAAGAAAGAAAGAAAGAAAGAAAGAAAATAGACGAAATAAATATTTCGGTCGTGGCTGTTTCAATCACAGTAAATCGCTTCGAAATTCTCCCTCTCCCTCCCTCTCTGTCTCTCTTCTCTTTTTTCTGTCTCTCTTAACTCGCTCTTCACTCTCTCTCTCTCTTCCCTGTATTTTGTCTCTCCTCTCTCTCTTCTCTCTCTTCTCTCTCCCTCATCCCTTTCTTCTGTCTCTCGTCACTCACTCTCTTCACTTTTTTATTCACTTGGCAACTCTCTCTCTCACTCCCCAATCTCTCTCTCTCTCTCTCTCTCTCTCTCTTGGGAAAATGTCTAGCCCAGCTGATTAATGACAGAAAGAGTCAATGAGATGGAGGTGCAAACACGTACCCCCCCTTATGCCGATATAGTCACGGCAAAAGCTATTCAACACGACTAGTTTCTCTCAATTAATATGACTCTTGATCGAAATCGATTGTTACTTAACGATTAAATCATCTGAAATATTCTATCCCCGTTTGAAATGTCGAAGTTTTTTCTTTCATTCTTTTAAATAAACTATTTCAGATATACCATATTTGGAGCAAGTCCAAAAGTAAGTACGTTGGATTTGATTTTTTAGGAATATGGCCAACATTATTAGCAATCACAAATGCACCCTGTGACACTCATTTATAAACTGGGACGTAAAATTGATCGCTTTCCTAATTTTAAAGGCTTTTTGCCGAAATAAATTGATCGAATGTCGTTATGTTCAGAAAGTCATTCGTATCAATAGATGTGTTTTGTAGCTCCCACAAAAATGCGACATTACTTTCGGAGCACTCTGCGACATTATTCTTTGTCAAAGTCAAAGTAGCACAAATAAATTTGAAAACAGATACTCACTTTTCGGACAAGTACATTTTTTTGCTTTAAAATTGGATTCAGTTGACCATTTTCAATCATTTTGTCGCGAAACGTGTTGGTCAATCTTAATTCGATCGGGGATATGAAGTCCGATATGCCAGGCTGTTTGGAGAGAAAAGAAATAAAAGGAAATTTTAACAATCGTTTAACAGACATATATATATATATATATATATATATATATATATATATATATATATATATATATATATATGTGTGTGTGTGTGTGTGTGTGTGTGTGATTAGATAATTACAATCATTATATGCTAATTTTTAGCATAATTAGTTTCATATTCACGGATATTTTTCCGTGTATTATAATCAAATAATGCAAGAAATGATGATTTTCACAATTACAGTGAATTTCTTACATCATTTGATTGTAATACATGGAAAATATCCGTGAGTATGAACGGATTATGCTAAAAATAAGCAGACATAATGTTTGTAATTTATTTAATCAGGCATGCCTAAAAGAGAATGTCAACAAATATATATATATATATATATATATATATATATATATATATATATATATATATATATATATATATATATATATATATATATATATATATATATAAATATATTTATGAATAAAAATGACAATAGGAAAACTGGACTTTTTTTTTTTCTTTTTTTTTTTTCATTTTCGTATTTTGCTTTGATAAAGTCCACATTGGACGAAACGCGTCAGCAATTACCAGTTTTTCCTATTGTCATTTTTATTCATAAATATTGTCTTCTCTACCGATTAAATCGGAGAAATATTCATATCATACAAATATATATATATATATATATATATATATATATATATATATATATACCATGGTTATAATTTATTACATTGGAATCGTAGTCACGATCCAATTCATCCCTGATACTAGCAAAGTTATTTAACCCCTGCTTGAATGAGAGATCTTGCCCAAATATGTGGAGGGTGACAAGGGTATGCCCGGTCTACAAGAAAGCGCGCAATCGATCCCCGCTCCCAATAAGGACCCATTAGTCTCCACAGTATCATCACTAAGCTTTTTGAGGCCTTAATCAACAAACAAGGAAATCGTCGAGCACCTGGATAGAAACAACCTCTTGTGCAACGAACAGTATAGGTTTTGATCAGCCCGATCCACTGCTGACGTGCTACCATTTCACACAGAATTAGTGAGGCTTTGACGACACACGGCAAGGACCATAGGATTAAATATCTCAAAGGCCTTTGACAAGGTATGACAAAAAGGTTTGCTACACAAGATTTCCAGCGATGAAATCACTGGAAGGGTCTTCTCTATTATATCCTTCCTAATAGGTAAATCCCTGAAGATAGTTATTAACGGCCAGTTCTCCGATGTGCTCTTGGCCAATCGCAGGCGTACCCCTAAAGTCACTTCTCGGACCAATTCTCTTTCTGATTTACATAAATGATCTACCCAAGAATATATTGCTATCATCTGTAAAATTCTATGCCGATGATAAGACGATATAGGAATGCACCTCTAAAAGTCTTGATGATCAGAGATTGTCAGCTGACCTCTCTTCCGAATTAACACTAACTTTCCAGTGGGAAAAAGAATAGTTGCTTACATTCATATGCCATCACCGCCGATCAGATCCCGAACTACCGCCTGTCTAAATGAACGGATATCGATGAGGCATCGTGCCTTGGAGGATGATGGACCTCATGCTCACACCCGACCTTAAGTGGAACTCCTATATACGATCCATCGCTAAAGATGCAGGTCAAATGAACGGCTTCCTGTACTGATCCAATAAGTACCTGACTCCTCATGTTATCTTCTACCTTCATAATAGCCAGATTAGGCCATAAATGAAGTACTGTTGCCATGTTTGAGCAGGAGATGCTCAGCTCCTCACTTTCAAGTCTTGATATAGTTCAAAGGCGTTTCCGTGTCCTTGTGGGAGAAGAATTCGTTTCCACACACCAACCTCTCTTGGAATGTGGCGAGTCTCTCACTGCTATATCGCTAATAGCATGGAAAATTCTCGGACGAATTGCATCTCCCGGTTCCACCAGGTGTAACAATCACGGCTAGGACCCGTCATGACACTTACATGGTAACAAACCACCCACATTTCCTCCGTATTCCATCGATGAGAAATAAGTTATACTCAAACAGATTCTTCCCGCGAATCACTGCTCTATGGAACAGACTCTCAAGATGATGTTTTCCTTATCACTATAATCTTAACCTGTACAAGTCTAGAGTCAACTGTTATCTTCCCCTCCAATAAACTACCCCTTAACGTAACCCTCTACCTCGAGTGGCCCCTGAGCCTTGTACAAGTTGAACCTTACTGTAATATATATATATATATATATATATATATATATATATATATATATATATATATATATATATATATATATATATATATAAATATAAAACGCAATTAAATCATTTACTATATATACATACATATGTATATGTGTGTGCGTTTTTCTATGTGTATATATATGTGTGATTATTTTGTATATACGTCTATATGTTAGCAAATATGTGGATATAGATCCGACAGTATGAAGAAAAATATGGAAAAACAAAAATACGAATATGCAAGTATGCTGTTTTAATGTTGTATGTATATATATATATATATATATATATATATATATATATATATATATATATATATATGTGTGTGTGTGTGTGTGTGTGTGTGTGTGTGTGTGTGTGTGTGTGTGTGTGAAAGAAAAGTATGGAAAAACAAAAATCCGAATATGCAAGTAATATTGTTTTACATTAAAACAACATTAAAACAGCATACTTGCATATTCGGATTTTTGTTTTTCCATATTTTTCTTCATACGTCTATATATGCGTGTATATGTTTGCATATGTGTATATGTGTGTATCGGTGTCCTTAGTACATAGCTGCGAAGTTTGATAAGAATTCTTCAGAGATTTACTCACTTGCAAAACTCCGAAAACTTGAATTTCCTTCGTCTTGTTGGACTCAAGTGAAACATTTCCTTTTAAGATATTCCGAACTTTGGAGGTTCCATGATGAACATTTTCCGATAAAAGAAGACGTTCAGTTTTCGGTAGAAAGTTTGGTTCCGCTACAAGTGTGTATGAAATTGCTGTAAAAAAGAAAAAGAAAATATAAACAACTACAAATTATGAATAAGATATATATAAGTATATATATTTATATATATATATAGTCCAGTGCTTTCTGCCTTTTTTTGAGGTTTCAGACACGATGAATTACTTAAATATAATTATCAAATCCTCTTAATAATTTCTATCATGTGTGTATCATTGCTTGAACCGGCTTCTAATGCTCTAGAGTGAGCGGCTTGGTGATAGTCGTCGTGGCTCCAGGGGGACACAGTCCTATGGTTACAGAGAACTCAGTAAGAGTTCCACCACGGAATATGTGAGCGAGCGGCGCTATATTGAGTCTGATTTTCAATCTCTTCGTCACCAAGGCCAAGTGGAACAGTTGGTATGATGTTTGCTTGACAATTTAACTGTCAGGGTTCAATTCTCGGTAGTGGATGCGCACTGCTGATGAGTGCCAAATATGAGACGAAACAGCCGACCAGTGCTTTCTGCATTCTGTTGAGGTTTCAGACTCGGTGAAATATATATATATATATATATATATAAATTACAAACATTATGTCCGCTATTTTTTAACAAAATCCATTCATACACACGAATAACTTTCCGTTAAAGGATGAGAAAATTTGCTATAGCTGTTTAAATTTTTTTTTTAATTTACCAAGTACTTTCGATCTTCTACCAAGATCATCTTCAGGGGTGCAAGTAGTACAAAACTATATGTTGTTCATTAGTACAAGTATTTATACAAAATTTTGCGTTGTTATCCATTACTGTAATTTTTTTCATTATGCTTTTAAATGCAAAACAGTTGACAATGTGCTGAGCGTTCATTTGAAATAAATACATAATTGATATTGTCAGCATCGTTGACGTTTTTGATAATTACGTATTTGAACTTTGTAAGATAATCCAGCTTGTGAAAGTGAAAGTGAAAGTTAAATAGAATATGAGAAAAATATTTTGTAGGAAGATGATCAATTTTAATTATTAAACGTTCGAAGAATAGACCGTTGTAAAAAGCTGTGCTCAAAAACACCAACGATACTGACGATTTCAATTAGATTTTTAATAACTTTTTGAAGATTGGTCAAAAATAAAATATGAAAAATGTGAAAAAACTTGGTAACTTATTTTAACAAAAATGGACAATAAAGAAATTATTATAAAATAAAAATATTTAAAGTGTCAACAAACTAAAGATATGTAAGATGAAGGAACTAGTCCAAAAAAGATTTCGAATTACACAATCTATTCATAAATGATAAAGTTTGAATATTCTATATCTAAAAAAATAGGAAAATTATCACAGACATTTTTTGCGTTGAGTAATTTTGACATGTCTTATCATTTTGGATAAAACAACTTAAAAGTGGAAAAGAAAAGCTACTGAAATCCAACTCACAAAGTGATGGAAAAGCATTTCCTTTGACGGTATACTTAAAATGAATGGTGATATTTATTTTATCGTGTTCCGTCAAATTCAGTGGAATTTTTTCGGGGCTGTTCGTTAAATCCATGAAAATCTTTAGAATTGGTCGTCCTTTTATAATGGCGACGTTGTCTGAAAGGACTGCACCCACAGCAAAATCTGAAAGAGAATTATCATCTTTTGTTTTTTAACTTTTTATTTTCCAAATGTTAACAAAAAATTAGGATTCATATTTTTTTGTTTTTTACTTTTATCAACACAGTGTGACAGAATTACCTCCAAGAAATACCTCCCACATAATGGTGGGATATAAGATGGATGAAGACAGCATTGACACTAATGTCTTACCATTATCTGGGATGTATTTCTAGGAGGTATTTCTGCCGCACTGTGTATATAAAATAAAGAGATAAATATTTTTAAATAATTTATGAATATTTTAAATTTGAATAATAATTAATATATATTTAGGAATGAATGAATGAGTTGATATAATTTATGGATTTAATGAATGAAAATAAAACTATTTCAATGCAAAACATTTGAGATTCTTATATACGTTTTTTTTTTTCTTTTATTCTCCAAATGTTTACAAAAATAACAAATTATATTTTATTTCACAATTAATTTATTATACATTTTTAAATTTAAAATTAATATAGATTTATGAATGAATAAGTTGATATAATTTTTGGATATAATGAATGACGATAAAACACAATTAGAAACTTTGTGAAATGTTCTTTTGCCAGAACGCATTTTCATTCATATGAATTTTCACAGAAATTCTTATATGTTTTTTTTTTTTTTTACTCCAAATGTTGACAAACAATAATGAATCATTTTTATTTAATTCCATATATATAAAATAGAATTTTTTTTTTATGAAATAATTTATGTTGGATTTTAAAATTTTTTAGAATAATTAATAGCTTTTTATGGACGAATATATTGATAGAACTTCTGGATTAAATTATAATAAAGCACTTTTTCAATAAAGAATCTTTGACATTTACTTTGCCAAAGCCATTTTCACGCTGAGGAATTTTCAGAGATTTTTATACAAGAAATACAAATGAATTTGAATAACGAACTGAATACACTCTAATCACATATTTCGTATTCGAATTTTAAAACTTTTTGTGGTATTTTTTAAAAGGGTGTTCAGACATTTATTGTTTTTACAAAGATTTTCTGCATGGTGGTAAATTTTAAATTTTATTCTTTATTTAAGAAGACAGCTTTTTAAAGTAATTATTGCTGATGTTGTAACCTAGGAAAGGTTGCTGAATAAAATAATCAAACGAAGGTTGGTAATGAACGATAATACTTAGGATACGAACAACACATATAAGATTCGCCAGCGGTGGGTAGAAGTAGTCATCTGCTAGAAGTGAATTCCACAAGGAATCTCCAACTCTAGGATATCTACCAACCGCCCCACGCGGTCAGATATGGCACAAGGCTGAATTTAATGTGAGGTATCCGAGCCCGTAGTCTCGGCAAAAAAATCCCCGTAGACCCTGTATAAAACGGGATCGGATAGCTGTTTCCCGAGACGAGTCTCTGCCATTCGACATAGCCCCGTCTGGGGATCCTCTCTACCCGGAGGCAGAGTGACCAGCACAGCTGGAGACGAATCTCTAACTTTAGATCAACATACAGTATTTACTACTGTATTTATATGAATGGAGACATACCTATTATCGTCCGTAGGTATGCTACAACAGTTGATAAAATTGATATCCAATAATTATACAAATGCTACAAATGCCAACAGTTATAATGAAAAACATTAAAATAAACATTATTAACAAAATATTATTGACGAAACATTATTATCCAAACATTGTTAAGTAAAGATGTAATACATTATAGTTGCACCTTTCGACTTCAGAATCTAAATGGTGTAATCTGTTACCGATTTCATCAATTTAGAGAGCGTAGATTGGGGAATTTTCTTTCATTCATCCATATTAAACTGTTTCAATTCCTCAAGAGAGTATTGCCAGTATTCACATCTCTTGCCATCATTCTTCATCAAAAATTTTCGATGCACCTGATGTCTGCAGACAAGGAAGGCTCTTCATGAAAATTGATGTATAAAAGTTATCTTACTGAATCAACTTGTCATTTCTCTTCTCTTCATTGGTACTTTTGCAAATAATATGTATTTTATCATTTCTTGGTACGTTTGGAATGATGCCAAAGTTGCATTAAAAGTAACTAGTAAACATTTGCCACATAGTAAAGACACCCCATGTTAAAGATGCAATTTGGTATTAAATCCCCAAAGAAGATTGACGAAATGCTTCCCATTGAACATTACCTGACCTAGCATCCCGCCTTCAGTCGATTTCCCACCGCCGGAACGTAACTTCCCTGTGCCTTTTCTATAAATACTTTCATGCTAATTGTTCTGATGAACTCTCCTCTATGGAAGAAGAATCTGCAATGTTATTGCTCCTGACCTAGCATCTCAGCTTCAGTCACTTTCCCACCACTGTAATATAGCTTCTCTGTGCCTTTTTCTATAAATACTTTCATATCAATTGTTCTGATAAATTTTCCTCTATTGTATTCACTATTTTTTTTGTTTTTATTTTCATTCCCCCACACCCACAGACAAATTATACATATCGGAACTACTTAAGAGTTCATAGAGACTTTGAGGTATTATGGTGACTGTAGTGAGAATGTTAAGTAAGAATGTGTTATTTTGGTGTAAGGAATATTTGGGCAGTAATTGTTCCTAGCTAAGTTTAAGAAAGATTAAAGACCAACCTTTCCCTATCCCCTCTTTTGGCCTTCTGTCACATTTTTGTATTTATCAAAGTAAATATTACTTACCTCTATGGTACTTTCCTTTATGAATTTAAGCGCAGTACTAGATTGGTAGTAAGGTCTCATAATTTTGCAATTAAAATGGCTAGATATAACCGTAAGTTCTATGATAACAGTTTCTTCTATCGTACTTCTCGCTTGTGGAACTCTCTTCCGGCTTCTTACTTCCCAGGCAATTTTGATCATCAAAAATTTAAATGCAATGTCTATCATAATGTTCTGTCTTCTTAATTCTTCCCGTACAATCCTTTCTCATTAATAGATTGTTTTATTTTTTCATATTATCTAACACTCAGTAATCCTTTGCGTCTTAGTGGATTTATTGCCTTGCTTTGGGGTGAAATGATTAAAAAGAATCTCTAAATAAATATTGAAAGAATTTGAAGAATATTGTAAATTGCACATAAGTTGTTGAAAGGTAGATATATATTTTAATTCCCCAGTACGGATAATATATTATGGTCGGGTTCGTAGTTGATGCTGTTAAGGAACTGTTTTCTTTTTATGATAATGGCTTCAATTATTTTCATACGCTTTTTGTAATTACAGGCGAGTATCATATTTGTATTCTCCAAGAATATGGCGGTAAGTTTTCATACTGATTTAAATGAACACGGCCATAATATAATGGCCGTATTCGAGACTTAAAAATATGCATACCTCCCAAAAACTTATACGCTTATTTACAAAAGCACGACCAAAATCCTTGAAAATGGCTACTGGATTAGTCAAAAGCTCACGGAACGAGCAATCCTTTTGATGAATTCTATGCAAAGTTCAAAAAAATTAATCTTCTTTAAGGAGACTTGAAAACATTCTAAAAACGCAACAGAAGGGCCTTAATTAAATATATTTTTAATCAAATATATATGTTTATATATACGTAGATGTTGCCGGGTTCAAATAATGAAATCTCAGAAATTATGACCATTTTCATTGTTACTTCATTTTGATTCATTCTTTTAAAACAGAATTATCTTTTAATATCAAACTGATTTATCAGAATTAATTCAAGTATGAGAATATAACGACATAAGCCGTAGAGATTTTTACCCTGATAACCGTTTTTGTCAATATCGACAGATTTGGAAATGGCCCAACCGAAGCCCCGGAAACTGGGTTCTACTTGACTGCCAAGTATACGTTGTGAATATTTTGAAATTTTGCCATCAGAACGGCCATTGTAAATGTATACGCAGCCGGTGTTGTCTTCCTCAAAAGGAGCGCCAATTGCTATATCTGGAAAGACAAGAAGATCAGGAGTAAATTAAAAAGAGATTTTAATAAACTGACATATTTTAGATTCCGTAGTCAGATTATGAAAAAAAAGTATTTTCTTTTACAATTAAGAAAAACCAACAAAGAGAAAGTGACAATGAAGGTTTGTATTAAAATAAACGGTCTAAGATATATATATATATATATATATATATATATATATATATATATATATATATATATATATATATATATGTATGTATGTATGTATGTATGTATGTATAACAGACTCAAACACTAATATTCCATGGTTATAAGTTATTACATTGGAATCGTAATCACGATCCAATTAATCAGATAGATAGATAGATAGATAGATAGATAGATAGATAGATAGATAGATAGATATGAACAGACTGAGATAGATAGATAGATAATGAACAGACTTAGATAGATAGATAGATAGATAGATAGATAGATAGATAGATAGATAGATACGAACAGACTGAGATAGATAGATAGATAGATAGATAGATAGATAGATAGATAGATAGATATGAACAGACTGAGATAGATAGATAGATAGATAGATAGATAGATAGATAGATAGATAGATAGATAGATAGATAGATAATGAACAGACTGAGAGATAGATAGATAGGGATAGATAGATAGATAGATAGATAGATATGGATAATGAACAGACTGAGATAGATAGATGGATAGATAGATAGATAGATAGATAGATAGATAGATAGATATGGATAGATAGATAGATAGATAGATAGATAGATAGATAGATAGATGGATAGATAGATAGATAATGAACAGAGATAGATAGATAGATAGATAGATAGATAGATAGATAGATGGATAGATAGATAGATATGAACAGACTGATAGATAGATAGATAGATAGATAGATAGATAGATAGATGGATGATAATGAACAGACTGAGATAGATAGATAGATAGATAGATAGATAGATAGATAGATAATGAACAGACTGAGATAGATAGATAGATAGATAGATAGATAGATAGATAGATAGATAGATATGAACAGAGATAGATAGATAGATAGATAGATAGATAGATAGATAGATAATGAACAGAGATAGATAGATAGATAGATAGATAGATAGATAGATAGATAGATAGATAGATAGATATGAACAGACTGAGATAGATAGATATGAACAGACTGAGATAGATAGATAGATAGATAGATAGATAGATAGATAGATAGATAGATAGATAGATAGATACCATTGAAAGATAGATAGATAATGAACAGAGATAGATAGATAGATAGATAGATAGATAGATAGATAGATAGATAGATATGAACAGACTGAGATAGATAGATAGATGGATGGATAGATAGATAGATAGATAGATAGATAATGAACAGACTGAGAGATAGATAGATAGATGGATAGATAGATAGATAGATAGATAATGAACAGACTGAGATAGATAGATAGATAGATAGATAGATAGATAGATAGATATAGATAGATAGATAGATATGAACAGAGATAGATAGATAGATAGATAGATAGATAATGAACAGAGATAGATAGATAGATAGATAGATAGATAGATAGATAGATAGATAGATAGATAGATAGATAGATAGATAGATATGAACAGACTGAGATAGATAGATATGAACAGACTGAGATAGATAGATAGATAGATAGATAGATAGATAGATAGATAGATACCATTGAAAGAATCCTTATCCAAATCGCCGACACTGGAAATCGATGTCCCAAATCGAGCATTCGCTGCCAGTGACCCCGTTAAAATGATTGGTTTTTTAAACGACAAGCTACTCTGCGCAAAGAAAATGGTTAATTATTAAAATGACAAGCAGTAATAATCATTAAAAAAATATAAACAATGCCGTCAAATGCGCCTGGAAAAGAAAAGGATCCTACAACAAACTGCTGCTTGGGATGGAACTAAGTTTTTTTTTTGGGAGGGGGGTTAATACTGACTGCGAAGAGCTTCAATCCAAAATTACGAACAATTTTTGCATTTTTCACGTGCGACCCAAAAGTCCGTTACAATCATCGAAGTTAAGAAACGTCAAGCCTTGTGAGTGCCTAGATGGGTGACCAATTGAGAATAACAAATGCTGTTATCTTGAATGTGCTTGTGTGGTAATGGTTAATGGCTCGGTATTGTTAATCGGAGAGCCGAGTTCAAATTCCAGTTGGGTCTGTTATATTCACTTACACGCAAACGCCTTTCTGAAAAAATATGAATCCACCTCTTCTCGCCCACCCACCGAAAAATGCCCAGTTCTGGGAGAATATAAATTAAAATCTGCATCAAAATAGCATATATTTATATTTAGTTGAATAAATCTATGTACAATTATCTCAATGTTGTTCATGAAATTCACTTAAAAACGCTACAAACATTTGTTCCGACACAATACACTCACCACATATATATATATATATATATATGTGTGTGTGTGTGTGTGTGTGTGTGTGTGTGTGTGTATTCCTTATTTTAGGATATTAGAACGAAAAACATCTCAAAATCGCTACACAATTGCAGTCGTTTTTCGATGCGTATCAATGCATCTCATCAGGCGATTAACAAAAAAAAAAAAAGAAAAAAAGGTGAGGTCAGTTATACGGTTTGTGGGCTTTACTCAGATCAACCAATCGAATATGACCTACGTTAAATTTAAACTAAAGAAAGAAGCAAAAATTAAGGATTAATTTTTCATAAATGTGTCATGACCCGTAGATTGAAATCAATGCCAGCAACAAACGTTAAACAGGAACGGGTGAAAATACATATTGTACATGAGACAATGTCATTTGCTAAGAAAAAATGAATTTGTAATCCAACAAAATGCTAGATAAATTATATGGTTTGTGAGTTTTCTACATTAAAAAAAAATTATAGTTGATAAATAAAGTTTCTTCATCTCATAAATAAATAAATAAGCTTCTTCATCTTACCTGGATATATATATATATATATATATATATATATATATATATATATATATATATATATATGACGATGATGATGATGATGATGATGATGATGATATTAGCTCCCGAAAAATAATTAATTCGGTCGAGCACTGTAGGAAGAAAAGCGAATTTGTAAACAATGACTATTAATGCTGATAATGCAAGACTCTCCAGCTGGATTAAGTTCTCTAGGTTACTGGCGTGTTTATGAAAAATAAATACGCAAAAATTCGCCTTTCTCTCTGCCAGGCGCTGATAGTCTAGGGGGTTAGAATCTCCGTTTCGATCCCGGCTTGAAGCGATCTAATGTGTAGCCACACTGATGAGCTGTGATACAGCGAAACATTCTGTCTGTGGATGACTATATATATATATATATATATATATATATATATATATATATATATAGTGTTTGGGGGGAAAAACGATATATAAACATTTAGCAGGAAAATCTTAGACTTAGTGGAAAAAGTTTACCTGTGATGCATTTATAATAAAATGTTTGTAATAAAATGTTCTGCAATTTCAACAAGCATCTTAAGGTGCACATTCTGGAATAATATTCAGAATCTACAGAACAGGCTTCCATTATTAATCCCCACGTGTTCAGTGACCCACAGCAGCAGTGATGCTTCTAAGTCAATATAACCTGACGAAGCCCATCCTTCTTCACACTCGTTTTGAATTCAGATTTCTTTCTAGACTGTTTTCCACCACAAGGTAAGAGAAATTAGTCAGCCCTGCTATTTTAACCCATAGCAAGGGGGAGATCAGGTGGAGGTTTTTAGTGAGAAAGTCAATGTAACTAATATGGCCTGAATTCGAAATTCACTTTCCGATTCCTGTTTCCGGACCATTAACTTTTAAACTATCGGCACGTCCAAATTAATCATTCATTAATTTAATAATGCCACTATATAAATTCCTTGATTATTTTGCTTTCTTCTACAAGACGATCATCCGCTGCCAATAATTGAAAACCGCTGTCATGTCCAACAAAATGAAATCTGTTTAGAAGGATAAGGAATTTCGTCTGGATTCGTCACCCGTCGTATAATGATGTTTGAATCTCTTGAAGTGACATTCACCAATTTTCGACACAATTTGCGGAAGTACGAAGCAGTTAAATGGCGGCAATTATTCATTTTGATAAAAAAAAAAATGAGGATTACTGAACATGTTACTTACAGATGTCGATTCACTTAGGAACAAGAGTACTCGGCCTTCGCTGACTGATTTTGTCGTGTATGCAGGAGCAGCCACAAATAGGTCTTCTTTGCCGTTTCCATCAATGTCTGCTGCGCAGATTGTTGCACCAAAATAAGATCCGATCTAAAGGGAAATCGATAAAGTATATTTAAAAATCAATATTCTTAAAACTGCGCATCAATAAGTTGCATGTGACTTATCAATAAAATTCAAATACTAGATTAACAGATGAAAGAAAGGAGTTTCCCAAAGTTCATTTCAATCAGAGGAATTTGTGTTAATGAGCATCACCGATTTAGAACGAAAAAAAATGGACACACTTTTTTTGTTTATCTTTATTTAAATTTTCCGAGAATTAAAGAGAATTTTTAAATAAATAATTCTATGACGAGTTCAACTTACTTACATTTTATAACTTATTATTGATATTTACTTTAGAAAAATTGATAGATAAATAGATAGATAGATAGATAGATAGATACTGAAAAGAGTGCGATAGATAGATAGATAGATAGATAGATAGATAGATAGATAGATAGATAGATAGATAGATAATGAATAGAATGTGATAGATACATAGGTACATGAATAGAGTGTGATAGATAGATAGATAGATAGATAGATAGATATCAATATTAATATTAACTGTTTCCGTAAATGAAAACATTCGGCATTAATTGACCAAACAGGTTGAAATTCATAAAATGTTTCTTTTCAGACAATTTTTCAGGAAAACCTGTTTCTCACGTTATTTTTATTTCTTTTGCCATTATTAATGGGGGACTTCCTTTTTAAACATTTGCTCGAAGTAGTGGCAAACATACATCACCATATTGATTATGTCATTATTTTCCCTTCACTATTCTAGTTGTTGCTGCTGATGGAAGTCCTCGTGTTATGCGTTTTCTCTTATTTGATACAGTTTTTGATTTGTGATTCTATAGAGACAGACCATGCAATTTGAAGAAAGATGGCACTATCTATAACCTACAGTATTCATTCACTCGAGCCATTTTTATACATAACTAACCGAGGTACACGGCGTTGCCCGGGTGTACATGGCTGTAATTGCATAACCGCACCACACTGTATACCTGCACCTCCTGCCTAAAAATGTCTGCCTGCGTCCATGCCTGCATGCATCATCCGTTGGTATACTAAGCTATTTCCCCACATCATCTTTTTTTACAGTATGTCCTTCGCAAGTGTTTGATTTTTCTTAATAAACGAATTCCATCGATAAAAACTTCTTGTGTGGTCGTTTCTCGGGATTGAATTGTTTCAATGTTTTAGATATTCATTAAATTTCCTATGGCCTTAATAACTTTCAAATAGTATCTAAATCCAATAATCGAACAAAAACAGTAATGAAGCATCAGAGCTTGATTCAAGTGCAAGTGCAAACGTATAAACGCCCACCCACTTCTTTCTTCGGCGGTTTACTGTAAAGCTGGGGTTAATAAGAGGTTCTTCAGGGATTTTCCCCTTTTAACGCTTCAATAATACTTCCCAAACAATATTTTTATCAATGGTTGTTCGAATGCCAATTTAGGATGGAATCATATGAAGAAACTATTGGCTAAATGACGAAAGCTGATTTTGGACCTAGTTTGTCGCAGATTTCGTCCACTTAACTTAAATAATCTAAACTAAACATTCACGCAAGACAATTTGTGTGTCATATGTAATTTACGTGTCAAATTTGGATTGCATCGGTTAACAAAAACAGGGAATTATAGCCGAAAAACGGGCTTTTTGAAAAGTTTTTCGTAATTTTTCCTTATACGTAGCGAAGTGAGCAGGACTAAAACCACATTTATCTTATTTTTTGAAGATGGCTAATTTTCGGCGGCGTTTTTGAAGAAAATTGGATAAAAAATGAAGTTATTCAAGATTTTATTTTAAACAATACAAAAAACACGATTTTTTCATAGTTTTTTGCAATTTTTTGTATGAAGCTAACGTCACAGAAAATCTATCAAGCATTTTACATAAACCTCGTAACATGTATTAAGTGCAAAAGAACATCAACTCATTTAGTAAAAGTATTGTTCGCGTGTAACTTTGCCTTGGTTTTTGCAAAAAGTTCTACTCATCTTCAGGTTTATCGATTTTTCTGCCAAACCTGGATGGGGAGTGGGTGCTGGAGATTAACTTTGACCAATTTTATTAAATTTGAAACATGTGTGTGCAATTTCATCGAAATCGGTCTGGAAATGTGGTCGTGCATAAATCTCATACACGCACAAAGACACACACACATACACCTCTGTTTTATAGATATAGAATATGAACAGAGTGTAACAGAGGGAGAGAGAGAGAGAGAGATAACGCGATATTAAAAACAAAGACAGAAAGAGAGAGTGAAAGAGAGAGAGAGAGAGAGCTGTTAAAAATTTAAATATAAATATATTTCATTTTGCTTTCATCACGGGAGTACAGTGTCAGACATTGGTGTTTCAGTGTTAGTCTATCAACATTAACTTTCTTTCTTTTTATGTGTCATGTCCACGTTCTGTCATCCACTTGAATAAGCCCGCCAGGTATGTCACGTGTGTTGTTTTCCCTTGTCTATTTTTCCCTCTATTTGGCCCATGAGTATCATATTCTCCAAGCCCTCCTTCCTCATTATGTGTCCCAGAAACTTCAAATGCCTCTTCCTGATATTAAGTATAAGCCTCCTCCTTGTTTGCATCCTCTCTAAGACCTCATCGTTGTTCACACGCTCGGTCCATGATATCCTTAGCATCCTTCTGTAGAACCACACCTCCGTCGTCTTGAGTCTCTTCTTCCTCTTTGAGGAAATCGTCCAACGTTCGCTGCCGTAAAAAAAGGACAGATGCCACGTAAAAGCTCAGTATTCTTTTCTTTGTTACCAAAGAAATCCTCCTGTCTCGCAATACTCTGCCCAGATTTTGGAATGTGCCCTTGGCCATTCCAATACGTCTACGGATCTCAGTGTCGAACTTACCGCCCTCTGTGAAAATGCTTCCCTGGTATTTAAACTTCCGCATCTGCTTGATTCTTGTGTTCCTGACCTGCAAATCGCATTTCGAGCTCATCCTAGTGAGGTTATTACACGCAAGGTAGTTTCTGGAAGAATTTTCATTTTTTTTTTGTTGTTGTTTTGAAACAAAAAGGACGGCACTTAATTTTAAAACAAGGAAGAGTCGGTTAAAAGAGAAGGAAGGAAAGGGCTTGGAAAATGTGATACTCAATGGACAGATTAATGGCACAAGAGACAGACGAAAACAACGCATAACCTACCTAGCGAGCTTGAGTAAATGGATGGCGGAGCAAGTTTTACAAGAAGACAACATTCATTAAGAGCTACAAAGGACAGGAAATTGTGAAGAGTCATTATCACTAATGAACTGAAGAAATATGACACATAAAATGCATGAGTTACTTTAGTTCATTTTATTTATTCCTTTTATACTAGAATCTATTATATTGATTGACATATCCGATTAAACATTCGAATATACTCTTACCTGTGCGCCCATGTGTGTCCATGAGGATATTTGCCAGACACGGAATATATCCACCTATTTGGAAAAAAAAAATCAAAGACATCCTTACGAAATATACTTCATTGTGACATTTCATAAAACCGGTGGTAGATATTATTTAATAATTTATGGTAACCATGGATAAACGTGCCCTGAATAAGTCGGAGTCTCAAAAGGACAGTTTTTTCCCCCGTGACACCGCTTTTTTTTAATTTCCTTCACTATTCGGCAATATATATTGTTTTAAAAAGCAATTATCAGAATTGGAATAAAACCTAAACACACAACGAAAGTGAATTTATACTTTGTTTTTTGTTCTTGAAAATCGGCAACTAAAACATTAAACACTATTTGTTCAATAGATTCGTTATTTACAGTACGCTATTCGTTTATTGGAATGGTTGGATAAACATCGGCTAATTGCCAATGGATTCAAAATTTATAAAATGGTTAATAATAAAGATTTCCTTACAGTTGGTTCACATATTTTAATAATTTAGTAAATGTTTATAAATTTGTGAATAAGTTTTTTTTTCATATTTTTTCTTTATACAGTGTAACCCGGATATAAGAGACCCGGATATAAGAGAAACCCGGATATAAGAGAGATTTTTCTCTGGTCCCAAAGTGTTCCCATACTTACCTAAACAAAAGAGATCAAACCCGGATATAAGAGAAACCCGGATATAAGAGACTTCTTCTCCGTTCCCGCCAACTCTCTTATATCCGGGTTACACTGTAAATTGGTAAATGATAAATACTGCATTGCATTAGTTCTCATTGTATTAGTTTTTAGAATGTTGTAAATATAAAATTATTCTTGTAAATAAAAAATCTAATAATTAAATTAATAGTGTTTAATATTTTTGTTGTAAATTCTCAAGAATAAATAATGTATTAATTCACTTTCATCATATGTTCAGGTTTTATTCCAATTCTAATCATCGCTTTTTAAAACAATTAACATTACTGAAGTTTAAAGATAGTTAAAAAAAAAAGCGATGTTATAAATAAAACGAACCTTTTGACCCTACGTCTTATTGCGATCACGTTTATGCATGTTTACTAAATTTATAATATTTAAATATGCATAAAAATAGTATTTAATATTTTCACATGAAGCGCTGTCATTTATTTTTTACGTGTTATATGTTTCTTTTATTATTATTGTTGTTTAAAATATTTTTGACCTGAATTTCTTTTACCATCCAATGCAGAGTCAAAACCATTGATCCTGGGCAAGCGAAAGGTGAGATTTTTAACGTTTCTACATAAACAAAAAAAAAGTTATAACAAACAAAAACTTTAATGGACAAAGCTCTTCACCTATGGGCTATGCTTGTTAGGATTCTTTTTTAAATTTCTTGATGAGATGGGGAACAAAGGGATTTTGCTGATTTATTTTTGAGTTCCTTTCTTTATCAGACCCAGAGCCCCAACCACAACTGGAACAGTTTTCGTTTTTAAGTGCCATATGTTTTCTATTTCCATCTTTTTGCCTTTGCATTTGCTTATTTTCTCAAAATCTTTGGCAGTGATGTTTTTATCACTTGATACACTCATGTCAATCAGTGTGCAAACTTTTTTTCTTTTCTGGGTGATTTGCTTGTATTGTTCGATCTGTGTTGATCCGAAAGGATGGTAACATCATTATTCTCCTGTGTGATATCATCTTGCCAGAGAGTATTTCAAGTGCCTAATTACTATGTCCCCGCCCCCCGAGGTCTATGAGTAAAAAGGGCACTGCAGGTGAGTTATGTATGCACATTAAGGTCGTTTCGTTTAGATGCAGAGGGGTTTTGTGGATGATGTATGCAGTTCCGCACACAGTAGTCTTTTATAGCGCTGAAATGATGATGTGTCCAGGAATTTTACTCACATGATTTTCGAAACAATTCCTTATCGTACCCAATACTCCTATCATAACAGACATAATCGTAGTTTTAAGTTTCCATATTTTTTGTTACATTGATTTGCAGGTCCTTATAATTTGGCAGTTTTTGAAATTCGTTTTTAGAAACATTGGAATCCAGTGGGCAAGTCATATTATTTACACTCTTATGCAAATTAATTGAAACGGAAAGCTAAACGCGGAAGAATGTAGTTAACGGTTTTTTTTTTACTGATCCGACTTGTCTCAACTTGTCTCAGTTACTGCGCAATTGAACTATTTTCGTACAAACGCTCAATTGTGCGCTGTGTGCGCAATAATCAAGACAAGTAAATATTATTCACAGCTATTCAGCAGCAAATGCATGCAAACAACGCCAGTAATGGCTGCCGCGACGCGAATGAATCCGAACTTTTACTGTCAATAATTCCAAAACGGTAGATTTTCTCAAATTTATCAAGCCAGATTCGAATGAAGCATTTACAATTACACATAAATATAAATATTCTGGAAAGTTTTAATGCAAACTGACTGCAGGTGCTAAATTGCAAAATAACCATTTTATGTCCGTCTAATTTTTGTTGCTTTTTACAGATATTTTATTATAATTATTTTTTTATTGACAACATTACCCCAGTGTTATTGTTGTTCTTTAGATTAAACTTTTATACCACTATTATTATTATTATTATTATTATTATTATTATTAAAAGTTTTATTCTCATATTATTTTTCGTGCATTTTCATCGTCTTAGCCCCGAAACCCACGACCGGGAGGGTGCTGTGTTTTGGGGGATCCCGTTGTGGCCTCTGTTATTTTTTTTTAGCACTGTTCTATGGCCATCCGCCATTTTTTCATTATTTTTAAATTGACGTCACATTGTCAGTAATCAAGTAATAATATACATTGTGTATGTTCATGGCCGGTGCGATGGAACACTCAACGAGGTTGGAGACGCAAAAGGCCTAGTTTCAGCAACGTTTTTTGCTTTTTGCACTTTTTACATTTTTTTCTACCAGTTTTATTGTCAGTCATCAACTATAATAATTGACGGGGCCGGTGCTTTCTACCCCGAACTACTTCTTAATGGATGATCTTCGAATAAAAAATAATTTTACCGAGATATGTTACCCTCTTATTTGATGTAAAAGAATTGTTCAGAAAGAAAATTACAATTTAAAAAAATAACCAATACTGAAATTAGCACTTCTGCCCCCACCTCCCCATTAGGCATAGGCCCCCCAAGTGGCTGAGAGGTCCGAGGTAGGAACACTTGCCTCTTTTTCGCACATAAACGCGAAGAAATTACATTTTTTTTCATCTTAGCAAACAACTGGAAATACAGACTACAAAACATATACATGCTAAGACAAATTTGGTTTTAAAAACAAGAAAATAAAAATATGAAATATTTTTTTTTATATTTAAACACCTTTCTCGCCCTTTTCTTTGTTGTCGATTAATTCAAATCTGCAGCACATTAAACAGAAAAAAAAACAAACAGTTAAAAGTAACGTTCTCGTGGTCTCTAAATAAATATGTTATAAAAACCGCGAGAACTCCCTTTCCAACCAGATAAAATATACCCAGATAAGTCAGTTGGTACGAGCACAATTTATTTATGAAGTTTCACGTAATATGGTAGACAGTGTGGAGCCTCTTGCAGTACTTGAAGATTCTTAAAATATTTCCAGTCAAAATAACACGCTCGTAGATTCAGCTGAGTCTCTAGCTCAAAACGGTGACTATCGAACTCATGAATTTAGCAAAATGGCCGACTAACTTAACTTACGCCTCCTAATAAAACACGCTTCACATAATCGGAAGAGATATTTTCTTGGATTTTGAATAATTAGTTCATTTCTTGGTTCGTTTAAAATTATATGAATAACTTATTCACTCGATTAGACTCTCATTGAATTTCGTTCTTACTTACTTCCCTTGGTTCATTAAAGTTATGTGAATAACTGACTCAACCGATTAGACTCAATGAATTTCGTTCGTGCTTACCTCCCTTGGTTTATTAAAATACTGCGAATACTCACCCGGCCAGAATCATTGTATTTCGGCGATCCGACAATAAGATACTTCGTGTCATGTTCCGTAAATTTTCCTGAATATATTGAGTAACCTAACAATAAAACAGGAAGAGAATAAATTCATTGACAGTTCTTATATTGGTGGGTAAATGAATGACAAACTCGAAATCTATTCTATGTTCATTTATTCGGCCTTCGAAAAGATTTCTTGAGAGAAAATATTTTTTGTTATTGATGGAATATCGACGTACTGGGAGGGAACAAATAAACAATACGTCCTTCATAATTATACAATTGGAGAAACGACGAAGATGCAGGCAGGTATTTAAATTTAGACTTGAAATCCTGGTGTCCAATGTGTCTAGATGCGCAACCTAAGCGACTTCATTCAGCTATCAACTGCTGTCGTTTTTAAGTATCCCATATTGTAATGGCAGTAATTTTCTAAAGGTAATCTGCTATATAATCCTCTCCCGGCTTCAACTACGGTTTTCAAATATTTAAATGCAAATTCTTCATCATTGCTCTTCAAATTCTGTTCTTTTATTGGCCTTTCTTCCCAGTAGCGTCTTAGTGGATTTATCACCTTGCTTATGAGTAAAACGATTTTTAAAAAATTACCATAGAAGATTCAGATATTAATGCCCTTTTCATAAATTATTTGTTCTTTTAATTAAAATTAGCCAGGTATTTAAAGTTGTATACTAGATTCTGCAATATTTATTTTTCAGTAAAATTAAAATTTAGAAATTTAAAAGCAGTATTTTTTTCAATAATTTCATCCCAAGAAAGGCAATAAAGTCACTAAGACACAAGGGGATACTGAGTAAGAAAGAATAAAAAATATTATTAAGGAGCGAGAATAATGAAATAAGAGGAATCGAGAAGTCAGTAGATAATGATTGACATTACATTTAAATTTTTGAAGATCAAAGTTGGTAGGGAAACATGAAGCCGTAAGAGAGTTCCCCAGGCGAGAGGTGCGATAGTTAGCAAAGAACATACGGCCACATCTAGTCAATTCAACTGTAAAATCATGAGACCTTATTGCCAATCTAGCACTGCGCTTAAATTCATAAACGTACTGTTGTAGCATACCAACGGATGATAATAGGTATGCCCCCATTCACATAAATATAGTCGTAAAAACTGTATGTTGGTCTGCAGTTGGAAATTGAATGTGGAATTCACTTGACTCCCTTGTAGAAGTTGACTACTTCTTCTACGCGCCGCTGGCAAATCTTATATGTGTTGTTCGTGTCCTAAGTATTATTGTTCATTACAAACGTCGTTGTGATTATTCTATTCAGTAACCTTCCCAAGGTTACAATAGGTACCATAGAGCAAGTTTCAGTAGAACAATTACCATGCAATTATTTATAGAAAAGGCACAGGAAAGCTATATTATTTCGGTGGGGAAGTGTCTGAAGCCGAGGTGCCAGGTACCAATAACATTGTAGATTCTCCTTTGAAGTTTATCAAGAATCTCCAAATATATAGCAGGAGCACCAGATCATATGTGGCAGTAGCATTCGAAGCATGGACAAATGGTAGACTTTTAAATATGTAAGATAGATTCTGGAGAGAAATATTGTCTTCCACGACACAGGGAATCAACTTTCCTAGCAGCAGACCTAGAAACTGATTCAATGCAATATTTCCACTTCATGTGTGCCTCTCTCCTGGAGGTTATCATCAGCTTTACTGATGGAAGGCAGCTCTCAGATGTTTAATAGAAAGCACATACATGGTCTGGAGCCCCTTCTGTTTGTCTCAATGTCCTTGATAAAATCCAGAGACGGATATCCAACGTAACTGGCCCTGATCTGGCATCTCGTCTGCAGTCGCTCTCTCACAGACGTGCCGTCGCCTCCCTCTGTCTTTTTTTACAAATACTTTCACGGTAACTGCTCTGAGGAGCTGCTTTCGCTGGTTCCCAGACTTCATGAATTTAAGCGTTCAACTCGGCTGGCATCTCGCTCTCACCCTTTCACTGTCGAAACTGTTAAATGTAGCCGTCTCTTCTACTCCAATAGCTTTATGTCTCGCACTTCTCGCCTGTGGAACTCCCTCCCCATTTCTTTTTCCCCTGATAGCTATAATCTCCAACTATTCAACTGTAATGTCAATCGACGTCTCCAGATGCCTTGATCTATCCCCTATCCTTCTCCTCATCCTTTCCTCTATCACTCCTCTTTGCTCTCGCTCCAACTGTCTGTAACCCCTTGCGTGCTAGTGGCTTCCCGCCTTGCTTAAAGTGAAACGCTTAAGAAAAAAAAACAAAAAAATAACTTTTGTTTTGCAGGCGTTAAAATTGACAAGCCATTCCTTGCCCCAGTTAACGGCATATTTTAGATCACTTTTGAGATCAGCTGCCATTTGGACCTCATCCAACCGATCAGACTGTTTCCAGTTTCTCTTTGACAGCGTTTAAACAAAATTTGCAAAGGTTATTTTATAAATAAAGAATCAATTAATTAAACTTTCAAAATGTCCCGAAACAATTTATTCGAAGCTATGTATTTAATGTTTATGAAGATGAGTTTTTGTGAGTCATGCACACACATATCCCATCACGACAAGGTTCCTATGAACTAGAGAGCCATAAAAACGATACACATAATGCTTACCGCTAGGTCCGAAACGAGAAATGAAACCGGCTTCATTGAGAATGTCTAATCTCGGTGAACATTGTAGTGAATACAATATGGGTTTGTTCAAACAGTATAAGTAACCAATCAAATGGTTCTATCAAGTTTTCTACATCCCTAAGTCTCAGAACCGGTAGTCATTCTGAGAACAAATAAAAGGTGTGTCAGCAACAGAAAAAGTCAGTAGTTCAACTCGCCTCAAAAGGATTACTTGGTACCACAGCGATTTCCCCACCAAAAGTTCGACTGTTTAGTACTAGTCAAATATTGTTCGCCCTGTTTCCACTAAGTCTGGGTTTTGTACTACCTGGCCCAGCGCTTGAACTCACAATTTCACCAAAAGCCTTAACCCATTAAACTCTGTAGAAAAGGGAACCAGTAATAAAAGAGTAACAATAAAAGTAGAAAAAGAAGAGAGATATCACCCATAGACATAGTCAGCGGCAGGAGAAGAATCTACCCTGTGGAATTAAATAATGAATTCAGTTTGAGGATCAATGAAGTTTATCCGGATCGACAGACACCCGAAGAAGCCTGAAGGGTACAACGCTGAAACGTTGTGATAATAAAAATAAAGATGAAGATCTTAGTCCGACTGTAAATAATGTAAATAATGATAACAGCTCATCCTAGAAATCCAGGGAATAATTTTACTGGTGTTCAGAAAATAATTTCAAAACAGACTTACCCGTCAAGGAGTCGCCTTTGCTTCCAATTCCTATTTTTTCGTCGACTGTGTTAGGGCTTTCACTCCGAAACACTTGGCCTCAAATAAAAAGTAAAAATCAAATGAATCATACGTAAAATTGCTGTTCACAAATACACAACACTGTACTTATTGTGCACACTACAGTTCGGTGCTGCAGTCCTCAGTGTGTTGTGACCTTGTTAGGGCCAGAAATAAAAGACACAAGAGAGGAATTGAGTTAAGCAAATATATTAACAGAAACAGTAATGCAAACATGTAAAAACGAGAGTGTTACAGCAAGAATGTCCGGTACGATTGTCAGAGCTGACTGCTGGAAACTTCCCTCTCTCCAAAAAAGGCAGTACCTGCTCCTATTTATAGCTGCGAGAGTCCATGCGCGCGTGGCTAAATTACCATAATACAGTGTAAACCTACCTGAGGCTCGAATCGTTTACTGAATGTCACGTGGCATGTATCGATGTGAATGCGCACGCGCGTATGTGTATGTGTACGTGCGTGTGCGCGTTTCTGTTTGTGTGTGTGTGTTAAAATGGATAATGTCAGATACTTTATCTAAAAAGAAGTAGAAAGTGAACATATAGATAGCGATAGACACTTGGTTTGAAGAGGTTCCGTTTGTAGTGCTTCGAGGTGCAACCACGTAAGGATTTGTTGCCCAGAGTAGCATTTCTCAGGAGAGAAAAAAAGAAACTGCCTGATTCGAATTTCCTTTTTTACAAATATAACACAGAGAAATGTAGAAGCGTAGCTTGAGGAGTCCACGCTGTGAATGTCTGAACTGGTGGAGCTAAAGGATGGCGCTCATCTCAACATTTGCCATGGAAATAGCGATAGGCTAGCGATCAGCTTGCAACGTTGCATCTATTAGAAAAGGCTTGAATCCATTTCTTGTTAACTGTCCCCATAATAAGTAGACTGAACTCTCTAGCCTAAGAGAACTACACTAAATTAAAAAACGTGGAGAAGGCTAAGAGAAATTATGACAATTGACAAATAACAGATTGTCTGATGTGACATATCATTACAAAAATAAAATAAATTTATAATAAATGTAACGACTCGTTTCTATCTTCAATAAATTAGTAAAAGTAATATTAATATTCGAAGTGATGTTTTATATTAAACTAGCATATGTAACCGGCATTGGTCGGGAATACTGTCAAAATAAAATGTTAGTTTTCATTTTATTTGTATAGATCGGCGTTTCTCAACCGATGCGCTTAGGCGCACTAAAGCGCCTTGAAAGGTGTGTCTCAAGTTAACAGAAGAGTAATTTATGAATTATTTTAATTTTATATTATTAAAAAAATAAATAAATAAATAAAAATAAACATTATTTTAAAATATCTAGAGGCACCAAGGATATGGCTTCCATGTCTCAGTCAAGTTTTTGTCATTTGATATTTTAAACTTGTTGCTAAATTCCTTAATCCTTAATGAGTGGATAATCCTTTCCTCTTTTGCCTTCTTCAAGGGATTTAAAATAGTCATTATCGACCTCTCAAAAAATAGCAGATGCTTCATAAATCCCTTTAAATGAAAACTGTATCGCTAATCTTCTTTGAAGAATACTAAACCAGAATTTAATATTTTCAATTTCATAACTAAGTATTCCTAATTAAAATTTAAAAGATGTCTCAAAGTATTATTTATTCTACAAGAGCGCCTTGGAGGAAAACAGGTTGAGAAACCTCGGTATAGATTATTAAAATAACTAAGGGAAGTAACTGTGCATTAATTTACTACCAAGCGTTGATTTACCTCACTTGGCATTATGTTTCTACATGGGAATAAATATTTAACTCTCATGAGAAATGGCTTTTTTAAATCCTTACTTTTTTACCTTTGATGATCTAGGTCAACTTTACGTAGCCTACGACATGCGTTCGGTCATCGCCTATCTGCATGTCAAGTTTGGTTGAAATGCACCCAAAAATTTCTGATTCTATAGTGTGCAAACTAATCGACGAACACTTCCTTTTATTTATATAGATTAATAAAAAACATTTCTTTCAGAACTCATCGATCGGAAATGCTAAATTGAAATTAAATTTATTAATAAAATCCCGAAAACATAAGTAATCAGATTAAATGCATCCTGAAAGATGAAAGACAATTCATTGATCATTTTTCTCTATTTACAAATTTTGATACTGATTATTGAAATTCATTAATTGTAATTATATATATGAGCGACAGCACCCTGGAGAAATCCTAAGTAAACCAAGAATACAGTGGCCCAAAGGTAACCAGAAGACTGTTTGGACTAATCTTGACAAAGAGCTTTCTTTTATCCTTAATAACAATCTTAAGGGTCACATAGGGCAAAAGATCAGTTCCTTTTGTAGAATAATATACGACGTTTGCTTTGAGTGATTTGAACCGGTAATGGAAAAGATAAAAAGAGGAAAAACGACCAAATCGACGACAAATGGAAAGTTAAGATCAGAACAATATTATGCGCGCATCATCACGACCTAACATGCGCAGGTGAAATATTTGCATAGCCGTTTATAACGATTTTTACGAGCGCGTCAATAACGGCAAACGCGTTCAGGAACTTTCATTATGGACAGGAGTTGCAAAGAGGAACAATCGTTTTATTTATTTCATTAAGAATTTGCAAAGAGGAACGATCAATTATTTTTTTTTTCATACCCTGCCTGGTGGCAAATGCTGCTGGTGGCGCCTGGGGTGGCGGTCCCGCCATAGCCACCGAAACCGTGAGATCACCCCTGGTCGGCGGCTGATGAAGTCAGGGTATCGCACGTGCTAACACACGTTGTATGTTAAAAAAAAAATATATATATATATATATATATTTATATATATATATATGTGTGTGTGTGTGTGTGTGTGTGTGTGTGTAAAGTATATATTATAAAAATAACGAAAAATGAGAAAAAGGGACGTCAGTTGCTGTAACCTCCCGATGAGTGGACTGCACAATTACAAAAAAGTTGGTCTACGAATAGTCTTAATTTTCTAATTGTATTATCAATTTATTAATTTGCAACTATTTTCGCTTTTAAATCTTATACACAGTTTCAATTCGTTACGCCTGATATTAAAAGCGAAAAAAGAAAAATAGTTTGAGATTCTGAGGTTAATTACTTTCTTAGCACTTTAAATTTCTTAGATAGTTAAGTTTTGTCAGTTATTATTGATTGTTGCAGTTATTTTCATCTTAATTTCAGTTACTTTTTATCGCAATCGAAAATAATAATTGATAATGTCTCGTCTTAAAAAATCAAACTAACATTACGAATCACACAACTAGGCGTATGCAAATAAAGATGATTCAGGGGAAAATAAAAAATATCCGTATAAGGATTGTGTTTGTCTTGTTGGGTTTCCTAAGTAAAGTAAATGTAAACTCTGACGCCGAAGCCTACTCAGGTTCCGGCTCCGGCTCCGGCTCTGGCTCCGGCTCTGGCTCTGGCTCCGGCTCCGGCTCCGGCTCCAAAACTCTGACGGTCTGCATGTTGACACCACTTTCTCCCGACTGAGAAAAAAATGAGTGCTATATAGATCTCTCTCTCTCTCTCTCTCTCTCTCTCTCTCTCTCTCTCTCTCTCTCTCTCAGTCCCAAACCCACACTGACTATTGGATAATACCTGCCCAGTATCGTTCGTATCCACATGTTCATATTTTGTCAACCCCATCTAATCTAAGTAGAATGTCCCCTCTCGACAGCCAATTGTGAACGAAGACGTAACTTCCTGGTGCTTAGTGCGCCACACACAACCAATTCTGGGCCTCTTGTTGGTTTGATCCGACTCTTCGTTACAATGTGCAGGAAGTGTAACGGATTTCGACTCAGCAAGCTGAGTTCAAATAGCGAACTAGTCTGCTGCATGCACAAGTGCCCTTGAGAAAAGCATGAATCTGTTTCTTAGTCCCCACCTATCACCAACTATAAGTTTAAATAGCAAAGTGGCAATAAATCAAAGGAAAACTCTGAATTCCAAACAGCGGAGAAGACAACGAGAAACTACTCCACTATCTTTCCCAACTATGAACGGCAATTCACAGATAATAAAGTACAGCAGATCCTTGAGAGTCATCATAGCCTAGGTCATGATGGGACGTAGCATTGTGGTAAGATTTTAATGAATGTAACCGATGTCCTCTTAGCCTAATTGATAAGGCAGCTGTCACGTTAAGAGCGGCTCATGTGCATGAATGACTGGGCTTATTCTTTTCCAACACGCATTCCTTCTCCATGATGAAGGAATGATAATTCGGAGTTGCGATAAAAATCAACCGAAATTAACTCTGACCACCGCTTTACCGGTGGTAGAGAAAAATGACGTAATGCCCAGCCACCGGTTGAACGGTGGTAGAGAAAATGACGTAATGCCCAGCCACCGGTTGAACGGTGGTAGAGAAAAATGACGTAATGCCCAGCCACCGCTTTACCGGTGCGTAAACACTTGTAACTATTTTTTATATCTACTGTGAAGCATTACATACCAATTATTTGCGAATTTTGATTCAGGAGCTGAGGGCAGAAGGGTTAAAATTGTTCAGAAACGCAGGGATCAAAGGGTTAAGATAAACAAAACTTACTAGATAAATTAATGACATTTCTTATTAATTGTCTATATTTCTGAGATGAGGTATTATGTACACTATTTACATTATTCGGACTATTGTCCTCATCTTTGACGCCATATTTATTACAACGTTTCGGCCGTTGTACGATCCGGCCTTTTTCAGGTGTTTGGAATATCGAACTGAAACCTTTATTTCGCTCACTGGGGTGGACTGTTCTAGTTCCACATGCCATGTCTAATGGATGTCTGTTATCAATTATCTCCTGCTTAATTCCCTCTCCAAGCTCTCCACTGCCTTAACCGGGTATTGAACTCACACTCTTTGGGTCATGTCACTGGATCTAACAAACGCCTTTATCCACTGTGCCATATGTCCTTGTGACATCTATTAGACGTGGAACTAGAACAGTCTACCCCTGTGAGCGAAATAAAGGGTTCAGTTCGACATTCCAACCACTTGAAGAAGGCCAGAGCGTACAATGGTCGAAACGTTGTAATAAATATGGCGAACAATATGAGGACAATAGTCCGAATAATGTACATAGTGTACTTATTAATTGCTATAAATTTGTAATGATCTACTTTAAGTAATTTTTTAAAAGTGAAATTCGAAAAATGACATATACAGGGTGTCCATAAAAATCGTATGCACTTTTAAAAAATTATAACTTTATTTGTATTTGCGATAGAAATAATTTCTAAAAAGGATTAGAAAGAAGTCAATCTATATTTTTTAAGGTTTTATTGAAATTTTATTTAAGTTTCCACATGTCCTCCATCATTAGCAATACAAAGGGTAATACGATTTTGCAGTTCACGGAAAACATTTACCAACTGATTTACAGTAATGCCTGAAATCACATTAGTTATTTTAGCTATACTTAAAACTAGGTACATTAAACTTTATAACATTTTTTACAGATTATTTCTATAGCAAATACAAATAAAGTTATAAAGTTTTAAAGTGCACATGGACTTTAAGGACACCGTGTATTTCTCGATGATACTTACCTTTATAGTAATCGTAACCAGGAACACCATAAAAGACTGCATCCTAGAATGAGACAATATTGTATTCAACTGAGAATTGTTATTTTATTAAATTTCTTCAGTGGAATAGACTTATGCCTGAGATAAATTCTTTAGCTGATATAAACGAAAGAAACTCGTATTCATTAAAATTCTTCTCAAATGTCCCTTGCTCACTGCGCTGCAAGAACACTGAGTTAAATTCGAACTTGCTATAAAAACAAGACCCACACCTATGATAGTAAGTGTGTGGTAGTAATTTAAATTCTTCTTGGACTAGTGGAAAAATATTCCTTTGAACGAATACATACACACATACTGGCAAAAACAAACACACTAGACGAAGCACACACATACAAACACACACACACACACACACATACACACACACACACATACATATACAAACACACACACATACACGAACTCTACACACCACAAAAAGTGTGTGTGTATATGTAATATTTCCTATATATATCCTTCTTATAAAAACAAAAGTTTTGTATGGAGAAGGAATATATATATATATACACATACTAGTAAACACAAACACACACAATCCACAAAAATGGAGAAAGGCAAGATGCGAACAAAGAACTCATCTCTTTCCTCTTCTCTGACGAATCTCAATTGATTTAATACCCCTTAAGCCAAGCAATATTTTTCCGCCAGTCCCCCCAAAAAATGTGGATTACTACCACACACAAACGACAATTGTTAAACATCGAAAAACATAAGGAAAATTCATTCCTTTAAATAATATGTGGAGATAACTATTCTTCGCGCGATGAAGATCACAAGACCCGAAACACGTGTGGCAAAAATATGGAAAATAAAGTATAATATATAAAAAATACACATTATAACCAAAAACGCTCATGGCTTCTCTTTTCTGTAATCATGTATATATATATGTATATATATATATATATATATATATATATATATATATATATATAGATAGATAGATAGATAGATAGATAATATTAGTGGTCAATATACATACATATACACACACACACATTTATTTTATATATATATATATATATATATATATATATATATATATATATATATATATATATCCAAGAGGATAGAATCCAGGTAGAACTCAATGTCGAGGACAGAGTAAGAGTATAATAATATATATATATATATATATATATATATATATATATATATATATATATATATATATATATATATATATATATATATATATACATGCATAACATACACGCAAATATTTATATATATATATACATACTGTATATGCACCAATATCAGTTACGACTGAATAGTGAGTTCAATCCTCACTGGGTGTCCTAAACTTTCGGCCTTGTGCCACATCTAAGCTACACTTAGAAAATCACCATACTGTATATGCAGCTAATGTATTAACTCGCACACACGCTCATAAACAGACTGAATAGAAAAAATCACTGTTAATCGAATTTGCCCCCTTAAAAATCAAATTGTCCCTCTGTGGGGCGTGTACACCACTTTGTGAACGACGGGTTTAGATATTTCTGAATGGGTTAGGCACAATGCATTTCGTTCGTATGAAAGTCTCAACCTGACGAGTCTAAGAACTTTTTTCAGGTTAATGTTTTGGTTTTGAAGCAATCTGCGGTATTGAGTGAAACTACCTCTAGCCTATTCTATGTTCAATAAATAGAAATAAAGAAAATGATCTTTCTGGCATGCGAATCAAATATGAGAGTGCATTTCTAAAAGTCTTTTGCTCCAGTCAAAATCCATTAGATTCACTTACGTGAATCTAATGGATTTTGACCTTGGTTTACCTTGGGGAACATATGAATCCTCTTCTTCTCCCCACCCTCCCGCAGCTACGGGTAAATAGCAGGAGAGGCCGAGCTCTATAGCCTTGGATGTCAACTGGTCTAGTGCAGAAAAAATGGCAAGCTACTGCGGTAAAAAATCTGCCTCAAAAGATACATGATCGCCTAAGCGTATATCACGCATGGCACATAACTGGCTGAAAAGAATCTAAATCACTCCTTGACTCTAAACACAATAACCCGATTACTACAGATAAAGCTACATATATAATTAGCACATTTTGCTAATTAGAGAAATAAAGTTATCAATATGTCAGTAAAATACTTACGTTCATCGAATGCAATGAGAAGCCGGCCGAATTATAAATAAGGACTTTATTTCGATGTAAGGGAGTTCCTTCCATTGTAATGTTTACAGCTTTGTTGTTACCCACGCCGGATTCTAGACACAGGCCCTTGATGTATTTCTTTTTATCTGTCCACATTGGACTGCAAAACTGGTTTTAAAATATTGAGAGAAACAAAAAAAAAATAGTGCAAAAACACAACAGGATTTTATTTCGATCAGTTGTTCATTTTCTTTTTTTTCTTTTTTTTTCTTATATTTCTGATATCTCAGGTTATCTAGAAAATGAATGAACGCCTGAAAAAAATTTCACCTTAAATCGACTTAATTTATATAAACATAAATACTAAATGAGGTTGTCAGATCCTCACACGACGAAGTCAACGGGAGTGTCCATCATATATACAAAGTGTCCATAAAGTTTGTGTGCACTTTATAAAATTTATAACTTTATTTGTATTTGCGATAGAAATAATCTGTAAAAAATGTTATAAAGTTTAATGTACCTAGTTTTAAGTATAGCTGAGATAACTAATGTGATTTCAGGCATTACTGTAAAGCAGTTGGTAAATGTTTTCCGTGAACTGCAAAATCGTATTACCCTTTGTATTGCTAATGATGGAGGACATGTGGAAACTTAAATAAAATTTCAATAAAACCTTAAAGAATATAGATTGACTTCTTTCTAATCCTTTTTAGAAATTATTTCTATCGCAAATACAGATAAAGTTATAAATTTTATTAAAGTGCACCCGAACTTTATGGACACCCTGTATAAGATAAAGAACAGTTAGGAAACGTGTTTGTGTGTATTACAACCATGATTGCACCAGATTTACAAACCAACTCCTTAAGCCACTAGACCATTGACCCGTAGGACTTATTTACATGGAAGAAAGAAGTCCTTTCCTATAATCCCGTGACATACAAAAGAAACCCTTAAAAATAACTCCTTGGTATAAGGTAGATAGACTGCGGCAGTTTTCTAAACATCCTTCTTGTCCCTTCCGTTCCCACCTTTATGTTTGTCGAGTAGTTGTCCTATGGGAAAATGGACTATTGGATTCAAGTGTTGGTTTGTGATATTTGGTGACAGTGATTGTGATTTCAATCCCTGGCTCGGACAGTGTCTACTTAGACTCAGTTAAAATGCTCGAGCAATAAAATAAAATAAAAAAAACTAGACAATATCACAGCAATTGGGAGTAAAACGAGAACAGTTTATCCCCGTATATTAAATAAAGGGTTCAGTTCAGAAGTCTCTGTAGGTTACTCAGATCGACATACACCGGAGGAACGCCGAAACGTTGTCATAACAACAACAATGATGAAGACAATAGTCCGAAAATAAATAGTGTTAATAAGCATGACAAGCATTGAAAAAGTAGTAAAAAAATTAAACTTACAATCATTCTTCCATCTTTATCTTTACTTTTTGGAACGAAATCCATAGAAAATCCAAACATTTCGCTACTGTAGCCAGTTTGGACGCCTGCAAAGAAACACACGAAAATAATTAAAAATGACTATCATGACTTAAGGAGATATTCAGTTAACATTACTCTTTAATGATATTTTAAGAATTCGTAATAAGTTCAGTAAACACTAATCTCAATCTAGTGTGTTTTTGTATTAATCATTTTATGAGATATTCAAGCCTTTCTCCTTAGGCCGAATGTAATTTTGTATTAATCATTTCATGAGATATTCAAACTTTACTCGTTAGGCCCAATATGCTTTTTCATTAATTGTTATGGTCCGATTCCTTGTACCACGGGTGATAGTCCAAGGTAGAACCAATAAAGAAGAACTCGAACACAGGTATGGAATAACACAGATATATTACAAACAGGAATATATACAGAGAAGTAGAAGTGTTAGTCTGAACAATCAGGTTTAGTAGAGAGAACAATGTAGTCTCGACCAGTATCACTATTCCAATGTCTTGCTGTAATTGTCTGAACGCCACTCTGTTTCGGACTGCCTCTGACTCGACTCTTTACTCGACTTGAACTACTGACTGAGGCGCAGTATTTAATTATGGAATAGTCCATTATTATTATTATAGGTAAGATCCCATAACATTAATCATTTCATGAGATATTCAAGCCCTACTCTTTGGGCCCAATGTAACTTTGTATTAATCAGTTCATGAGATATTGAAGCCCGAATCTTTAGGTCCAATGTGATTTTAAATTAATCATTTCATGAGATATTCAAACCTTACTCTTTAAGCCTAATGTGCTTTTGTATTAATCAGTTAATGAGATACTCAAGCCCCAGTCTTCGGCCCAATGTCTTTTTGTATTAATTAGTTCATGAGATATTCTAGCCCGAACCTTTAGGCCCAATATGTTTTTACATTAATCAGTTCATAAGATATTCAAGCTCTCCCCTTTTTACGACCATGAGTTCTGGGTTTGAATCTCATCATGGTCGGTTAAGGTTATCAGCATCAAGAGGCGAACCCAGCGTGTGGCACATTTGATAGAGCATGAAAACTATTTCACGGCTTGACCAATGCCTTGTGAGTAAAGTTGATTAGATGGAACTATTTTGGGAGCCGTCGATGGGTTTGCTAGCACGAAGTAACAAGTCATTGTGACCGAGTGTTTGAGTTGCAGTATGAACCACAGCTGGGCTCAGTGGATCAAACACGAATGTATCTAGGCAGGAGTCTACAACAGGGATTAGCTAGTCTCCCTAGTAGACAGGCATCCTCAGAGACGAGAGGCCAGCCACAACCACTCTTTATGCCAAGTACGTTTTTGTATTAATCAGTTCATGAGACATTCAAACCCTACTCTTTAGTCTCAATAAGCATTGCTCGTTAGATCCAATTTCTTTTTATATCAATAAATTCATGATATTTTCAAGAAGCACTACTCTTTAGACCCAACGTATTTTTATGACTTCATGAGACATTGGTTCTACAGAAGGATGATGAGAATACCATGGACTGAACATGTGAGCAACGAGGAAGTTTTAGGGAAAATGGATGCAAAAAGGACGACTATACTTAACACCAGGAAGAAACAGTTGAAATTTCTATGGCAATGAGGAAAGAGGGCTAGGAAAATTTAATATTCACAGGACTGACTGAAGATAAGAAGAACAGAGAAAAACAATGCATAACCTACTTAGTAAGAGTGAGTAAATGGATAGAGGAACAAGCTTTAGGAAAGATAAAAACAATTTTAAGACCTACAAAGTACAGGAAATTGTGGAGAGTCATAATCGCTAACGTCTTGAAGGGACACGGCACATAGAAGAAAAAGAAGAAGAAGAGACATTCGTAGAGGACACTGCTTGATCCACTGTGTTTTTATATTGATGCTAATATTTTTATTCCTGTACGATTACCGAAGTTAAGCAACGTCGAGCCTGATCAGTACCTAGATGGGTGCCTGCTTGGAAATATCAGGTGCTGTGAGCTTGGATGTATGGGTAGAATAATGGATAATGTCTTGGAATTTTTATTCAGAGAAACGGAGTTCCAAATCTAGTCGGATTCGTTATATTTACTTACGTGCAAATGGCTTTGGGAAAAGGGATGAATTTAACTCTTCTCCCAGCCCAGCTTAAGGTTTAATTAGTAAGACTTGTACCACTAAATTATTAATATCTACCCCCCCCACACACACACACACCCACACTAAAAATTCCTTCAATCTAAAACTATTTTCTGGCTTTAAATAAAGAGTTGATAAGCTACAAAAAACGAATCAATTAATAAAAAAATATTTTTTATCATTAACTAGCAGTAAAGTCCGGCGTTGCCCGGGGATGTAACAGTAAGAGATAGATCAAGTATCGACCATCATAAAGACTGAAAAATAAAATTGACAAAGATTATTGTTTAAGGTTGACGGACACGCATGTCTTAATTAGTTTTTTTTTTTTTTTACGAATTGGTCAAACCCAAACTCAAACAAAAACATTGTTTTCAATCGTTATGAGTCTACTGATTGAATAGAATTTTATTATAAACAATTGTCTTGTAAATGGAATTTTTAAAGCATTCTGAATGTAAAAATAAAGAAAAAAGTGTGCAAGACAATAAGAAACACTACCTGCCAAAAAAAAGTAAAGTAATGTTGAAATCGGTTGAAAAATGTAGGAAATCCGGTCCCGTATATAAACGAACACACACACACACACAAACAACCTGGGTTTTATAATAAGTATAACTCGATATGAGTTGTCCCCCTTTCATTCTCGCGTCAGCGATGACTCTTAATCGTATTTTCAAATTGATTTTGTGCAAAAACAATTGTGTTTTTCCGATTTTTGGCTCTGTCAGAACCACCGCAAGGTAATTTTACGTAGTCCTGTGAAGTGTTGTTGAAATCGGTTGAAAAATGTAGGAAATCCGATCCAATATATAAACGAACAGACACACACACAACCTGGGTTTTATAATAAGTATGATGACAGTTGTATATCACATACTAACACAGTTGGGAGATGTTTTCTCTCACTTACGAAATAATTATGTTGTGTTTGTAAAGTCTAATGCTTATTATAGACTTCAGGAACTCATTAATATAACAGAAAAACATTGAATCTAAAGAGTAGAACACACTAAAGGTCTCTAGAATTCATTATTATAAAAACAAATTACGTCTAAAAGGAAATGCATTATTTAATATCTCATGGCTTCATAAATCGGATCTAAAGAGTAATGTTTCGGTGAACACATTAACTTCACATTTCCCACATAATTCAGGCTTTTGTATCTTTATGTAAAAATGCTTCAACTGATATGCACTTCTTCAGGAATATGCCTCTCAAGATTATTTTAGCGGTCATTAAAAACGTATATTTTCATCTACTCACTATAACTCAACAGCTTGAAAGATTTGAGTGTCATAGATCCTGAATTGCGTACCGATAAGGATATGACTCTTCTTTTTTTATCAAGGAGTTAAACCCTTTCTAATGATCACCGGGTGTAACATTCTGTCCGAGAATAAAAATCCTAAATCTCGTACTCGCGAGATTTCGAATCGCCATGTTTTTCTTAAAGAGATAGAAGAAAAAAATACACTTCTAAAGACCACCGGATGCAACATACTCTGTAGAAACGAATCTGTACATCTCGAGATTCTTGACAAAATCCAAAGAATGATCTGTAATGTAATCGATACTGACTTGACATCTCGACTTCAGTCACTTTCTCACTAACGTAAACGTGGCTTCCCTCAGTCTTTTCAAGGTAACTGTTATAATGAACTCTTTTCCCTCGTACCCCGGATACATGAATTTAAACGCGCTACTAGATTGGCAACTAGGTCTCACTGTTTTACTGTTGAACTAGCTAAATACAACCGCCACCTCTACTTTAAGTCTTTTTACTCGCACTTCCCAACCTGTGGAATTTCCTTCCGTTTACTTGCTTCCCTGATAAGTACAATATTCAATAATTTAAATGCAATGTCAGTCGCCATGTTCTGTCTTCTCGAAGCCAGTTCCATTTTTATCTTTTTCCCAATCGTTCTTATTCTCAGTTTTCTTATTAACATTCATTTCCACTCCTGCATTTTAGTGGCATTATCGCCTTGCTTGGGGGTGAAGCGATTAAAAACACTCAGCCTCTTCATCAGGTTTAATATACTGTTGACGATGGCCAATAATTATATCGGATTAAATATAGGGAAATAATGAGTTAGCCTCACTAATTTGTGTGAAGTGGTGAATATATATATATATATATATATATATATATATATATATATATATATATATATATGACCTTGCTAACCGAACGCGCCTCTGTGGCCAAATTGGTAAAGGCACGTCAAGCTAAATGACGGTTCCGTATAGGATACAGGACGAATATTTTCTATGACAATTTCTCGGACATTCAGGCCGGTAAATGTTGTTTAATACTGTTTATTATAAACAGAACATTTACTTAAATATTTGTATCTATAAAAAGAATGCATAAACATAAAATGTCTTAAAATAATTGTCGGACTTTGTCCATTTCATTATATATATATATATATATATATATATATATATATATATATATATATAAATGCCTTCCGGATATGAGGAGTTAGTTACAAAGCCCGGATATGAGGGGTTATATTTGAATTAAAATAAAAGAACTGAAATCACGTTTAACATTTATGAGGGATTCTACTATATATATATATATATATATATATATATATATAACCTTATTGTCGCTATTCGAGATGAAGAAGAAAAAGAGTACCGATGTACTCAGATGTTACTTCCTTTTTAAAAATTGGGCAAAGGAGTCTTTCAGGACAACAAATGGCGAAAAAGAAAACGAAGAGTATCCCTACCTACTTGAATGTTGTTGCATATTGTATCCGTACACATCCTGACACTGCCACTAAATTGCCCGTATGTAATGACGCTGGAGTTACGATTGTACATGTTTTCATCTTCTTTCGGGGCACCAATATACAGCCTGGATAAATTAGAAAAGAAAAGAAACAAATTGCCACAGTAAAATATCTAAAAAATTCATATTTTACGATACACTCACAACTTAGATGATCATGGCTCTCCACAACATCCTATCCTTTGTAGCTCTTCGCTATACTTGCCGTTTTATTATCCCTCCTATTCACTATTCTGTCATCTATTCTGCATGTTCAGGAAAGTTACTTACTGTTTCCCTCTGTCTCTCTCTCTCTCCTTCAATACACCTTGT